GCAGGGTAAGGGCAAGGTGCGGCATCAGGCCCCCTCACCCTACCTCTCACGTCCTGCACCACCCCACGCCCTGCGCCCCACCCCATCGCTGACCCAGGTACAAGACACCCCCCCCCCCTAAACCCCCGCGCCCCCACCCGCGTGCAGAGCGTGAAGAGGGTGGCCAGGATCATGTTGAAGTGCACCGCCCGACTGGAGGGTGGGGCGTGGGCATCCTGGAGCGAAGCCCCCACCTCCCCCACCAGCTCCGCGTAGGCTGCCTCCATGGCCTTGAGCACAGGCAGGGCCTCCTTCAGGTTGAGCTGGCCGCTCAAAACGTCGGCCAGCTCGTTGCAGCAGCCCGCCATGCTGGCAGCCAGGGCCCGCAGCAGCCGTGCATGCTGCCTGTAAGTTGTATATTTTGGGAGGGAAGCGGAGCCTTTGTAGGTCTGCAGTTGGACATTCACAACGAACCTGAGCATGGGCAGCCCTGGAGCGGGGCAGGAGAGGGGTCCCCTACAAGGCGGCGCCTGGACTCTCGCGACGCCGCTGGCACGGCATATGTTAGCCATGGGGGGGAGTGAACACATGCACCATGCGCTGCCCGTCACCACCCCGCCCCACCTGGTCAGGCGGCAGTCCATGCGCCCCGTCTGCAGCGGGTAGATGATCATCATGAAGCTGGACAGCATGGAGCGCAGGGTCAGAGTGAGCACGCCGTAGGCGCGGGAGGGGAAGACGTGCTGGCGGCGGTACAGGTCCCACTCCAGCCGCGCGGCGGCCTCCCACTTCCACACGTTGCTGATGGACCCGCCCGTGGCAAACACGTCGGTGTGCAGGTCGGAGAGGCTTGACTGCCACAGCCCCTCGTCGATCCCCACCATGGCCTCGGTCCTCTGGCGGGCGGGAGGGGGGGCCGAGGCACGAATGAACTGTCGTGGGAGGGGGCGATGCGTCGACAGGCGCCAGCACCAGCAGCCACCCTCCCTCGCCGGGTTTTCCAACACAGCCAGTGACTCAAGCCGAGGCCCATTTCCGAGAACCCTTTTCCCCCCCCACACCCCCCCAGACACACAAAGACTCACGCCGGAGCAGGCTTTCAGGAGCCCGGTGTCGTCGTTGGTCTCGTCAGACATGGTCCCAATCCCGCTTTCCACGACTTTGCCAAAGGACAGCAGCCCAGCGCAGATGGACGCCCGTATCGTGTTCCCTGCATGAGGTAGGACCGGGTTGGTAAGGGGAGGGACGGCATGAATGTGCCAGGCTGCGGCAGCCGGCAGAGAACAGCGTGGGGGGGCCTCACCTTCCCTTTGAGGTCCTGGGCCGTACCACATACAAGCCCCGCCCCCCTGCCTGCCTCCCCCTGCCCGCCAGCCCCATCAACCCAACAATCACAGTGCACCTGCGTACTGCGGCAGCACCGTGGACATGGTCAGCAGGAGGGAGGCAGCAGCCATGACCGCAAAGTACATGAAGTGCACCCCGAACTTCCACAGCGCCGCCCTGCTGTGGTACTCGGCGGCGATGGTAAGGGCCATGCCCACCAGCATGAGCATCCACAGCATGTTGTTCTTCGTGAAGCGGAAGCGCAGGACCGTGCCGAAGAACGCCACCAGACCCGACAGGAAAAAGGTGGCCACAAACTGCGAGGCGAGTGGGTGGGTGGTTGAGTGCTTGAAACAAGGGTTGACAATGGCGCATGACTCAGCTCTGACGTCGAGCGGGTGCCCCCAGAGCAGGGCCCGACACCTGTCAGGCTGCATGCAGCTCCGGGGGGTCTCAACAACCGAGTAAGCCATGCAGTGATTAGGAGCTCGGCTTGCAGCTGGGCCCAGGCTTCAGTGCTGGCATGCGCATGTGGAGTCAGCGACCATCCCTCCCACGCAACCAGTTCCGGCAGCCCCTAACCTTGGTGGGCGTATTGTCCCTGGAACCCCCGTTGATCGCCAGCACGGCGTAGGTCAGCCCGATGCCGATGCCCGCGCCGGCAGTGGCGCCAGCCAGCAGCTCGCAGCTGACCTGCAGGGCGGCCAGGCCGGTCCCGACCGAGAAGAGGAGGCACAGGTAGCACAGCAGGAGAGCCATGGCGGGGATGGCCACCACGTCGTCCAGGGACACCGCCGTCCACACCGGGTGGGCGCTGGTCGCAGCCAGGATGAGGAAGGTGGCGGTGAACACCTGCAGGGGAGTGCCAGGGCCCATGGGTCCGCCAGCCCAGTATGGAGGAGGACCGTCTTGCACCCCGGCCTGGCCTCTTTTCTAGACAGGAGATACCATCTCTTGTGGCCAGCCGTACCTGGATGCCCACGCGCACATAGACCAGGGAGAAGCACCTCGGCAGCCTCAGCTGCGGCCTGGAAGGCCACCGCCACGCCATGAGCCCCTCGGCACGGGGTTGCCAGCAGGATTCGGCCGACCTTATACACGAGTTCTGCAGTTTTTCGCGGTCACGCAATATACCTTGATCAGCGAAAAGTGCACTCCTCGAAGCCATTGGCCTGTTTGACACATACTGACGTCATCCACCCTGACTCCCAGAAACCCCGGGGCAATCATGCCGTGCGTTGTTAACTGTATAAAAGGTATAATATTTGCAGTCTCATATTTGTTTTCAACAATCGTCGCAGGCTGGCCAATTGGAGTAATAGGGTCTGATCATGGGAATGCGAATAGGGCGCGGAAACGTTATTTGAACCACCCCCAGGTGCCGGTTCCCACATGAACGCGACATGGCAATCGATATGTCGTCCTCCAAGGGGACCGCCAAGTCCGAACCTGGACTTGGGTATCAACCCAACAGCCATGATGACAATGCAGTAGTCTTGGCTTGGCCGTGGGTCATGCATCGCTTAAAAGAGTGCGAGGCACCAACCAACATCCGAGGAAAAGGGAACCACAGTATGGAGAAAATGTGAGTGTGACCCAAGCATTCTGCATAGTAATCTTGGAGGATTCGATTCCGAAAAAGGTTGCACGTATGGGCGCGGTGGGGTTCGTTCCAGACTACCAGGCGAATTTCGTCATGGGGGGGTCCTCTTGCATAAGCCGGCTGGCGGACGCCAGCTCGCCCTCCCACCCAGTGGTGGCATCGCCCTGCAAGGGGGCGGGGTCCTCGCTGTCCTCCTCCTCCTCGCCGCTGTCGGGGTACAGGGCGGCAGCCATCATGTCACTGCACAGCACCATCAGCTGCTCGTCCACAGCCCAGCGTGTCGAGTCGGAGAGCATGGAGGCATGCGCCAGGGCCTCCATGTCGTCGGGTGAGAAGGCCTGGACCAGGGCGACGCACAGCAGCCGTACCTGGCATTGGGAGGTGGGGTGAGGTTTCCTTGGAGGAGATCTGACGGCGGCACAGAGTGCTGTGCGAATGAAAGGCGAGGTGTGCAGAGCACAGTGCGCCTCCCACAGAACCCACCCCTGCCATGACGGTGTCGGTCTTTCCAATCACACACCCACCACGTAGGCGGCGTTGAAGAGCATGGCCAGAAATGTCACGCCCAGAATGGTGTCGGGCCCGGCCCGGCTGTCTGTGGAGGTCCCCTGGGAAAGCACGGACAGGAAGAGGTGCTGCGTCAGGTCCTCCAGATTGATTACCATGTCCACGGCTCTGGGAGGTTGGAAGAGGGTAAGGGGGGAAGAGTTGCAGTGCTCTTTCCCACGGAACAAGCACTCGCAAGGCGCAGTCCACAGCTGGGTACACTGCCACTGCAATGCAGCCAGTGCGCTCAACCACTTCCAGGCCAGTCGTGCCTTTGTGCCTGGGACGACCCAGTCACTGAATGCCAGCCCCTGCTTGACCTCGTCTGCCCCCCCAAGACCACCTCGCCCCAGCCCTCCAACCCCGGACAGTCTGCGCCCAAGCCCCAACACTTGAACCCGCCTCGGATTTCTCACCCCCCCTGCACCTGTCTACGCTGACTGTTTGCTGCACGATGCCTGCCAGGGCCGACATGCAGGCCTTCAGCTGCTGGATGACATCCTCCAGCTCCGCCGCCACTGGGATGAGCATGGGCGCGCTGTGTGTGTCGTGGCTGTCCAGCGCGGAAAGGAAGGAGGAGGACACATTGAGCATGTGGCGGCACAACTTCTGCGCCCTGCCCGCCGCAACAAAGGGAAACCTGAGAGAGAGGGGGGAGAGATGATTGGTGAAGAGGGAGGGAAGGAAACTGCATATAAGTGGCTGGTAGGATGGGCCTGCCCGGCTTCCTTTGTGCTATGGATTAACCCCCTGCGCGTCACCACCCATGCCTTTCCAATGACCCCTCGATGCCCGCCTCATGCACCACCTTTCCCCCTCTTCCCCCCTACCCTCCCTCCATTTCCTCCCAGCGCACCGCTTGACCTTGCTGAAGGGGTAGTACTCGTAGTGCAGGGCCTGGTCCAGCGCGGCCATTGCCCCGATGTTCTGGCCCACAGTCTTGCCCAGGGGCACGCTGTCCATGTAGTCCCCCCCAAGCATCTTGAAGGACTCCCCTGCCGGGCTCAACTCCATGTACCTCGACCCGGGGTGGGAGAGCATGCGGTCCACCGGCTGAAGGACGGCGTCGCCGTCTGCAGCTTCATACTCTCGATCGGGATTGGCTGGCGCTGCTGCCTCGAGCACAATGCAAGCAGCCCTGGCGTCGCCCGGCCTGGCGTCGCCCGGCCTGGCGTCGCCCGGCCCGGCCCACTGGTGAGGGGCCTCGCCGACTCCACCTCCCTCTGTTTGGTGCTGCTGTGCGGCGCTGGGCTCCGCGGCAGGCCTCACGGGAGTCTCGCCACCGACACCAGCCATGCCGTCGGGTGCCTGTGTTGGCGCCGGCAGACTGTGCGCCTGGCCCGCCCGGCCCTCTTGCGGCAGCAGGGCCTCCTCCTCCCCTCCCCCGTTGATGGCCGTGCGCGCCAGCCGCCCACCCGCCCTGCCCCGCGCCGCGTCGGGTGTGGCCGCCGGCCGCGACCGCCGCCGCGGCGGGCGGCGGTGCTGACGTGGGAGTAGGCTGTGGCAGGCGTGGTCCAGCACGCCGCCCAGCCCCTCCAGCGTGGCCACCATGAGGGCCGAGTAGGTGCTGCGCCCGGTGACAGGGAACAGCGCTGTGGCGCACAGCATGTTCACCGCCACGCCCAGGACGGTGGTGACCAGGCGCCACAGTGCAACCTCCGGCATGGGGGTGGGAGTGTGGTACCCGGGCAGCGCCACCACCGCGAGGATGATGTCGGTGATCAGGAAGCCGTCTGGACGGTGAGAATTGTATAGTGATGAAATGCTGGAGGTGTGGGGTGAAGACTGGGTGGGTGGCCTTCGGGAGCTGTTGGATCCCGGGGATGAGCAGCTGAGTGTTTCGTGTCACCACCCGTGCTCCTCCGTCTCATGGGCACCACCACTCCCTGGCCCACTCACAGAAGAAGCGGGGGAAGCGTAGGGCACACCCGGCGACGATCCCAGATATCACGGCCAGAGACAGGGACATGACGATATACTGCATTGCAGGGTGGGGGAGGGGCATTGAGTAGGGTGGGAAGCTGCGCAGGGATGTCCCATTGCAGTACCTCCTCCCTGGGTAGCACCGCGGATGTTGGCATCACAGACGCGCCTTCAAACACCTGCCCCTTCCTGCAGACACAAAGTTCGCCACCTTCTGCGGGTGGGAGGCGTAGGTCAGCCCGTTGCAGAGGTAAGTGAAATACAGGGCAGCCAGACCCAGGGCTACGCCCAGCACCGTGCCAAGAAATCGCTGCGAGCCCTTGAGCCACACCCCGCCTGCGGTGCTTGGCAGGGAGCGGTGAGCGGGAGGGTGTGAGCGAGGAATGGCAGGCATCTGCGACACCTCCGCCACAGGGGACACCTTGAAACGGGGCCTGGGGGAGCATGTGAGGTTCCCACCTGCGGGCACTCCCACAGCATGAAGATTGAACGCTGAGGCAGCCCTTCATGGCCTTCCTGCCCCACAGCGCAAGGGCTCCTTCCTGCCCCCACCTGCATCCCACCACACCTGTCATGGGCTCCAGGATGGTGATCACGATGAAGAGCGCCCAGAGCAGGCGGTTGTCGAACTTGGCGTTCACGTGGGGGACCACGGTCATGACCATGATGACTGTGAAAGCCACGGTGCCCTGCGAGCAGGAGGCAAGGATGGGATGGAGCGACGGGTGATGTGCGTGATGACTGGCAGCCTGTGCCACCTGGGTCCGCGCGGCCAAGCTCGCTGGCTCTCTACCCCCATTGACACCCACAAATCCCCTCCTCTCCCTCCCCCCCCCCCCCCCGCTGGTCCCCACCTGCAGCCCCAGGGCGAGGTGGTTGGTGTCGACCCCGGTGCGGCGGCGCAGGGCGTCCAGGCCCTGCCGCCAGGCAGAGGGGCGCCTCTCCACCAGCGGCAGCACCTTGAGCGCCCGGCGCTGCGCCGCCCTGGTCCCCACCTGCAGCCCCAGGGCGAGGTGGTTGGTGTCGACCCCGGTGCGGCGGCGCAGGGCGTCCAGGCCCTGCCGCCAGGCAGAGGGGCGCCTCTCCACCAGCGGCAGCACCTTGAGCGCCGGGCGCTGCGCCGCCAGGTAGGCGCGCATGGAGGAGGGTGTGGAGCGGGGGGTCGCACTCTCCTCCCCGCCGCCTCCCAGCAGCGAGTCGCGGAGGACAGCCAGCGGCGTCGCGTCGCGCGCGCCACGACCCCGCCGCACGCGCTCCATGAAGGCGGGGAAGTGCCAGTGCACGCTGCCCTCCCGCCGGAAGTGGGCGTGCAGGGCGGCGCCCGCGCCGGGGTCGTCCTTCCCCAGCGCGCCGGCCATGCACAGGTACAGCCGCCGGAGCTGTCGCATTCGTGGCCGCGGGGGTGGTGGGTCAGGGGGTGTGCGGGGGAGGAGGGGCAGAGTTTGAGGGCCGCAGGGCCACTCTGTGCCACCGACATCCTGCACCCCCCGTCCCCTTGCCGAGCCCCCTCCAAACCCCCCCAAACCCCAGGCCACGCTTCCTCACCCGCGTGCACACGGTGTACAGGGTGGCCATGAGCATACTGAAGGACACCGCCCGCCCCGAGAGGTCCCCCTCGCCGCCCTCCATGGCCTCGGCCGCCGCGTCCACAAGCGCCACGTAGGCGGACTCCATCTGCAGCAGGGCGGGGGTGGCGCCCGCCAGCGGGCTGCGGCCCCGCAGCACCTCCGCCAGGGCCGTGCAGCAGGCTGCCATGGCGGCGGCCAGCGTGCGCAACGGACCGGCGTGTTGCCTGCCAATGATGATGCGGTGCGGTGGCGTATGAGTTGTGTGTATAATCTCCATCTATACTTGAGGGGGGGGGGCTGAAAACAGCGCTCGCATCGTCACCGGACTGGCAGCCGCCTTGAAACGCCTACATGTCATTGCCACGTCCGGCAGCGCATCGTCACTTCTCCAACCCCCTGAAACAGTCCTCACACCTCCCAAACTTGGGACCCCTCCTCCCCTTTCCCCAAAAATAAACCTGCCTGGTCAGGCGGCAGTCCATGCGCCCCGTCTGCAGCGGGTAGACCACCATCATGAAGCTGGAAAGCGTGCTCCTCAGTAGCAGAGTGGCCAGGTCAAAGTGGCGGGAGGGGAAGACGTGCTGGCGGCGGTACACGTCCCACTCCAGCTTCGCGGCGGCCTCCCACTTCCACACGTTGGTCACGGCCGCGCCGGTCACGCTTGCCGCCGCGTACAGCTTGCAGATGCAGCTGTGCCACAGACCCTCGTCGATGCCCAAGCGGGTGAGCGTGTCCTATGGATAGAAGGGAGTGAAGGGAAGGGGGGGGGGCGAGCGTGTCCTATGGAAAGAAGGGAATGAAGGGCAGGGGGGTCGGGGGTTGAGCGTGCATGGGTAGATTTGAGTGGAATATGGGGAATCTTGGGAGTCTTTGGGCAAGTGCACTGCCAGATACTTCTGTCGCAGGTCATGCTGCAGGAACAAAGCATACTCAGTGTCATCCCAAGAAACCTCAAAGCCTGTCCCCAGTGCCATGTCAAAGCATGGCAGGGACGCCTTGCACGCCCTTTCCACTTGCAGCCCTCATGTGGCTGAGAACAAGGAACAAACCCACTCCCACCCCGGAGCGGGCTTTGAGGAGGCCAGAATCCGGGTCGATCTCGTCCGTCATCTGATCGATGGCCACAATGAACGTCTGGCCCAGACTCACTAACCCGCCCGCCAGGGAGCCTCGTATGACGTTGCCTGTTGTGCGAGCGGGAGCTGGGGCTGATAGTCATTTGGCAGCAAGGAGCCCCCGCGTCCCCGCGCCTCTGCACACACGCACGCACACACACAAAAAGCGCTGCCACCACCTGCAGTCTGGGGCAGGACCAGCATGGCCACGAGGAGGTTTGTGGAGCAGCAGATGAGGGTATAATACAGCCAGTGCACCGGGAATTTCCAGTAGGGGGCCAGCGTGTGGTAGTTTGCGGCCACCGAGAGGCCGGTGGTGACCAGGTTGATCAGCCAGAACAGGCTGTACGTCTTGAAGCGGAAGCGCAAGATGGTTGCTGCCATGACATAGGCCCCTGACAGGCACAACACCACAGCAGCCTGACCATTTTTATTTTTGGAAGGGGGTGAGAAAGGGGGAATCAGGGGGCATGGGGACGCAAGCCTAGAGCCCAAGGATCAGGGGTTAAGGACCAGGCCGTGTCATTGACCTGGAGCTCCACGCCCTGCGCCTGAAAGGGACCGCATCAGGCAGGCACAGCGGCATGTACGTGTTCTTTCAAATGCCGCGCACCCGGGTGGTGGTGTTGTCGGTGCTGCCCCCGTTGATGGCCAGCGCTGCATAGGCGATGCCCATCCCCGCCCCGATGCCCAGTGTGGAGGACAGCAGGATGTCCGTGCAGACGCTGAGGACGGAAAGCCCTGCGCCCATCGCAATCAACCCCCCCACGTAGTACAGCAGCAGGGAGAGGGCGGGGGTGGCGACCACCGGGTCCAGGGACAGCGCGTTCCAGACCTTGGCAGGGCTGACGGTGGCCATGATGAGGAGTGTCCCCGTTCCCAGCTGTGAGGGCAGGGGGGCGCGCGACACGGCAGGTCGATGCCCTCGATACTGGACAATGGTTGGTAACACATCGATAACAGCCTCCCTTCACAAACTACCTGGATGCCGACCCTCACAAACGGCTTCTGGAACACGGCAGGCAGCCTGAGCGCGGGACCCATGGTGACTAGGGTAGTGGACCCACCCCGGAATTACGAGGGTGTACTTGCTAGGCTAAGGCATACTGATATCCAATGTATACCGCTATAGTATCCTGAGCGGCTACAGGCTGTGAATGAACACTGCGATCACGTTTTCTTAGGAATGCATGGTAATATTCGAAGCGATCCGGGGCGATGCCACGTAGGAAGGGTGAGGGCGTCTCCACTGTCTCGAGGGTTGTTCTCCGCCAACAATGGATTCGTTCCATATATCGAAGATCACAACTTGGAAGCATGGTGATACACAGCCCAGGTCGAGGATCGTGATACGTCATGGAGCCCCTCGATAGTCCGTCACAGGGGGAGGGAAGCCCCTGCCACCATGTAATGAGAGCTGCCGCGGACAGCCGCCCGAGAAAGGAGTGAGCTGGAAAGTACACCATATCACATTACAACAATTACACCAACGAATCAAAGACAGCTGCTGAAAGCACACACTCCTCGGGCATTCACCGGCGTTGTACGACGCAATGGCGGCGTACCTCGTACCTCGTGAAGGGACGAGGGGCCGGGACAAGCGCTCCGGCCTTGCTAGAAGGGGGCGTGGCAGGGAAAGACGAGGTTCACGTATAAACAGAGACCCATCACTGCGAAGATGCGCGGGGTACCTTCAAGGGTGCTCCTAGCCTCTGGGTTGCTGGTTGTCCCTCGAGGGTCCTCTACACTTCTCCGGAGTCCAGCTTCTTTGAGGACACGGTGCCCGACACCGCATGGAAGTCCTCCATCCCTTCGTAGTCGCCCGAGGTCTGGGCCACCGCCATGAGGTCGTTGCACACCAGCATGAGCTCCTCGTCCAGGGCCCACTGCTCGGCATCCGCCAGACGATCCACGGCGGCCTGCGCCGCCGCGTCGCCGGCACACACACAACGCACCAGGCTCATGGCGAGCATGCGTATGACAAAGCCGGCATTGAACATCATCGCCAGGAAGGACACGCCCAGGAGGAATTCGTGGTGGGACTGGCTGCCCAGGGCCTCGGACTGCGACAGGCAGGAGACGAAGAGGTGCCGCGTCATGTCCTTCAGATTCAGGGACATGTCCACCACCCTGCGGGCATGCAAGGAACGTGAGCGTCTGGGCGGGAACAGGAGTGCCAACTGGGAGCAGGCCAGGCGGAGGCGGCGGCCTCATGGTCGCTGTACTCGTCGCCAGAGTCCACACAGCCAGCTGCCCGCAAGTGCGTGCCATGGGATTGGGATCCACGACTTGCCGGCCCAAGCTGCATGCAGCAACTTCCTCCTTCGAAGGTAACTCCTCCTAGCGCCCCACTCAGGCTCCTCTGAACACCAGCCCGTCCGCCTTCCCCTGCCCCACCTGTCAGTAGCAGCTGTGCGGCGCACCACTCCTGCCAGCCCCAGCAGGCACTCGCTCAACTGGAAGGCCACGCTCTTCACCTCTTTGCGGTGGGGGAGGAGAAAGGGCGAGCTGTGCGCATCGTTGCTGTCCAGGGCTGCAGCAAAGGACGACGCAACGTTCAGGAGGCAGAGGCAAAGACGCTGGGCCTGGTCCCCAGCCTCAAGAGGGAACCTGGGTGAAGTTGGAGGACCGCGGGGTCAAGGGGGTGGTGGAGGGGTGCAGGGAAGCCTCGCCGTGCCAACTTGACCATGGGGATGATGGCCAAGCCAGCCAGCCACCAATCGCGGCAGTGGGGGTATGCAGGTGGACTGGTCCAGCAGACCGAGCCTACAGTTTGAGTAGGTGCCTTGCCATGTGCAGCCCAGGGCGTCGGTCAGGCTCGAGGTTGCCCAGCCGGCACACCCTACTTCCCGTCCCCGCACAGGCAAGTGGGCTCCCCCCGTCCCCCCACCCTCCTCCGGGGCTTTCCCCCCCATCCGCTCCACACCCACCGCTTGACTTTGCTAAAAGGGTAGAACTCGTACTGCAGGGCCTGCGCCATCTTGGCGATGGCCTCCAGGGATGTGCTGACAGGGAGAGCCCGGCGCATGAGGTCCAGGTAGGCGCTGCCGAGCATGCGCACCCGATTCCCCTGCCCAAAGTCCATCACCACCGTGGTGGCAGGGGCGCTGGGGCTCAACGGCACCGGCTGCTGGGGGCTGCCGGGGTCCGGGGCGTCGTCGGGGATGGATACACGCACCGTCCTCACAGACAGGTGGCGTGCAGGGTCCCACCCTTGCGCGCAGCTTTGCATCGGGCCAAAGACTGTGCTAGGTACCAGGGCTGACTGCAGGCGCACCTCCTTCCCTGGATCGGCGTCCGAGGTGACCCGCAGACCGCAGCCACCTGTTGGCGCCATCCACACCCGCGCCGGCCTGACGACGTCCTCGGTCTGGCATCTGGCCCCGCCGCCAAGTCCGCCAGGCTTGCCACGGGGCGCGCCAGCCTCCACGTCCTCGCCAGGGAGGCCGCCCTTGGCACCGCTTTCTCCGCCGCGCACACCCTCCGTACTGCTGCTGCCCTTGCCGCCGCAAGCCCCGGACCCCCGGCCGCGGCTGGGGGCCCTGCCAGAGACCAGCCGGCCGGTGGCCACCTGCAGGAGGTCACCCAGGCCCTGCAGGCTCTCTGCCATCAGCCCGCGGTAGGTGGCTCGCGCCGTCACTGGAAAAACCGTGGCCGCCACCAGGACCTCCACCCCCACCCCCAGGGCGGTGGCGGCCAGGCGCCAGAGCGCCACACTCGGCATGGGGGCGGAGGTGTGGTAGCCGGGCAGCGCCCCCAGCGCCAGCAGGATGCTTGCCACCAGGATGCTGTAGAACTGGGAGGGGTAGAGCAGGGTGCAGGCAGAGAACACGCCGGAGAAGAGGCTGAGGCCCAGCGTCATGACGATGAACTGCAGGTGTGGAGGGGGAGAGGGAGGGAGGGTCACCACTCAGAAGACCACAGCTCTCAGACCCCCTCCCTGCCTCCAGATGCCCAGACCTTGGCCGGCTCATTGTCGTAGCTCAGGCCATTGCAGAGGTAGGTGAAGTAAGTGACTGCCAGGCCGCAGCCCAGGCCCAACAACGTCCCCGTGATGCGCTGCAAGGCCTTCACAAAGACGCCGCCTGGCGGGCAGTTGGGAGGAGGTGGACACGCCGATGTGGGCAAGGAGGAGGGTGGCAGGCATCGCCACGGGTGGCGGCAGGTGAGGGCCGTAGCGCGAACCAGACGGTGCCAGGTTGGAAGGGGTGGGCAGGCAAGCGCTGGGGTACCTGGGTCACGCAGTGTGCGAGGGAACCCACGATTGTCACCCCTCAACCCTCTCACGATCCCCAAGGTTAGGCACCGGCAAAAGGCTCCAGGATGGTGATCACGATGAAGATGGCCCAGAGGGTGCGCTGGTTGAAGGCGTCATTGGTGGTCGGGATTATCAGCAGCGTCAGGATGATGAGGTAGGCCGTCGCGCCCTGCAGCCCCAGCGCCAGCATGGCCGGGGTGACGCCGGTGCGGGCGGCCAGCCGCGCCGACCAGCGCGCGTGCCACGCCAGGCTGGCCTGCACCAGCGGCAGTGCGGCGGGGCTGGGTGCCTGCAACCCCGGCGCACTGATGTCGGGCACCGCAGCGGCCAGGCCCTTGGGAGAGACGCACGCCAGGCTGGCGCTGGACAGCAGCGCCGATGACAGGCAGGTGGACGCAAAGTATGCCAGGGAGCTCGAGCCAGGGCCGTGGGGCGAGGAGACCAGAGAGATACCCGCGATGGAAAGCGGGGCAGGCCCAAGGCTGGCCGCACCTCTCAGCTCCTGCGCCATGCCGTGCAGGCGCCAGTCATTGCCCGGGCGTGGCGCGAAGTGGCGTGCCAGGTGGCGTCGCGCCGTGGGGTCCTCGGCCGCCACGGCGTCGGCCAGGCCCGCCGCCAGGCGCCGCACGCGGGTGCACAGCGTGAAGAGCGTGGACAGGACGAGGTGGAAGGCGACCTGATTTGCGCCGCTCGTGGCACCGGGGGCGTCGTCCTTGATGTCTGTCGGGGCGGTCGGACCCGGTAAAGGCTTTGAAGCAGCGGCACCAGGGGCTGGGGGGCCCATTGCAGCGACGCCCTCCTCGACAGCCGCGCTGGCGCGTGCCCCTGCCAGCAGGGCCACATAGCGACTCTCCATGTCATCCAGGAGGGGGCACAGCTCCCGCGCCCGGGCGCGGGAGCGCAGGACGTTGGCCGCGCACTCCAGCACGGCTGCCAGGGCGTAGCCCAGCGTCAGCAGCTCGTGCGCGTGCGCGCGGGCCTGCCGGCAGTCCATGCGCCCCGTCTGCAGCGGGTAGACCACCATCATCGCGCTGGACACGGCGCTGTGCAGGAGCACCGCCACCGGCTCGTAGCTGTGAACCGGGAAGCGCCACTGCCGCCGGTAGAACTCCGCCTCCCAGCGCGTGGAGTCCTGGAACTTGTAGAACGTCTGTGCGTGGAGTCGGCAGCAAGGGGGATTTTCTGGGAGGGGGGGAGGATCTATGGGGGCGGTGATGGGTAAGGGGACTGCAGACTCATGCGGCTTCCAGTCTTGCGTCAAGGCGCCCATTCCTGGGACCACAACCTCTCTTCTCCTCACCACCAATACATCCCAAACCCTCTGTGTTCTTGCCACACGGCTGTAAAGCAGATCTCGCCGCGCTCACTGTCACAGCGGCGGCGGCGGCATTTGCCTGGCGGTGCACCTCGGCCACCCCCGCATTGCCAAGGCCCGAGTCCATGCCAAAGTGACTGATGTTGTCCCCCGACCGCGCGCGCAGCAGGCCCCGCTCGTCCACCTCGCCGCAGAGCAGGCGCAGTGTGCCGAGGACGCAGGACCCCAGCGCCTCCAGTCCCTCGGCCAGACCGCGGCGGATGAGGAAGCCGCCCGTCATGGGCAGGACCAGGGAACAGACCAGAAGGGATGTTGCGCTGGCGATGGCGCAGAAGGTGATCCACAGGCGGCTGAAGAGGAGGAAGCTGCTGTGATTGTGGTAGGAGGCGCCGACCAGCATGGCGACGGCTACCAGGTGTGAAGTGAAAAACACGTTCAGCGAGCACCAGCGGAAGCGGCACACCATGCCCACGAATATATATGCGCCCGAAAATGCCGCGGTAGCCGCTGCCTGCGGGGGAAAGAGGGGCCGCAAGGAAGGATGGAGAAAGTGGGGCTCCAGCAGGTGAAGGCAAAGTGGGCTCTGGCCCAGGGCATCAAGGGTCATGATGTTTGTGGCACAGGATTGTCACAGCCTCTTAAACCCCCTCCATGTCCATATGCAAGGTTCTTGACATGAGAGGCACAGGTTAACCATGCACTATGACTTTACACACATTGCCAGGCGGGGCAGCGGGGAGAGCTTCAATGCACAAGGGTTCAAACTGGGCGGTCGTGCACAGACGGATGCAAGGCATCCCCCTCCCCCCCCAACTTCCCCACCACACACAGCGCACGAGTCACCCTTGTCACAGATTCCAGCTGGCTGCCGCCATTGATGCTGACGGCCAGGTAGGACAGGCCCGCTGCGACGAGGGCCCCCGAGGAGGACGAAAGCATGACCTCGGCCGTGATCTGGAGGGGCGACTTGCCCATTCCCAGGGACACCGCACTGCTCCAGTAAAAGAGCAGGAGGGCGATGGCGGGGGTGGCGACCACCGGGTCCAGGGACAGCGCGCTCCACACCGGGTTGGGGCTGCACACCGACATGATCAACAGGGTGCCTACAAGCACCTGCACCACATGCGAGAGCGCGGTAATGAGGGGAAGAGCAGCCCGTCTGGCCGGGGAGGGGGAGGTTTGTATGGGGCGACCTTGCAATACAGGTGGGCACCCAAATTCAAGTGGGAGCAGCAACACGCGGCCCGGCGAAACGCATGACCAATTCATGCACAGATAAAGTCATAAGATGATGTGCGACCTCATGGGTATGCCCCGTCGACCGCACACACCTGACATCCCTTCCGAACGTGGAGTTCCTGGAATGCGTCCGGCAAGCGGGGGGGCCTCCACCTCCCTCGAATGGCCTTGACAGTCATTTCACCTTCTTAGAATATGAATTGAGGAATCAAATGATTATCTGGATGCGTTCCCATGTCTAGTCCCTCCTGGGCTTCAGGTCCCCTCCAGCACCAGGTGCTCCGCGGATGTCCGGGGCCCAGATCTCGCGCCCGCTTCCGGTTCAACTCTTAGCCCAAAACAGAGCAATGGCCTTGAAAACGGGATGGCAACCGAACAGCTATGGCAACAGCTTGGAGAAACCTGTATAATCGCTAGGCATCGCCTGATCTGGTACTGATCTGCGCCAGTCCTCCCCAGTGTATGCGGGCGGGCAAATGGTGTGTTGTTTGGCGGACCTTCCGGGCGCCTTCAGGCTTATCCTACTCGCGTGCTGGAACATCGCTCTCTTCAGAAACTTCTAGAGAGCTTGCAGCACAGCTTTGAATCGTGAGGATACAAGACGACAGTACGGGGGGTGGAGAATGGCTTCCACTGGAGTACTTGCGTGAGGAGCCAGTATCACAGCCAGAGGCTGCCAGGCCGTGTACTTGATAATGATGATGCGGATTTATATCATGTCTTGAAAGGGGTGTAAATCATCGATCAAGTCCTGGGCCTATTTGGACCGACATCAGATTCATCTGAAGAGGGCGATGTCAGGAGTATTCGCTCTTGCAGCGGTGGCTCCCAGATTTCATCGACGCTTTACACTTTTCTACATCAACAAGAGATCATGCTGTGCTGCTCATCTGTCCGGCTGCCACGAGTGCAGGCGGATGGGGACGGCCACGTGATACCCTCGACGAAACTCTCAGAGCTGCTGAGTCGGACATGTGTTACCCAGACCCACGACCTGCAGCTTTCGGGGATCCCCGGGGCCCCCGACACCCTTCTTCCGCCGTACTTGCCATTGCTCATGGCTTCGCTGATCTCGGAGCGGGTGTGGGCTGCATTCTGGGCATGATCGGGGTGTAGCTGGAGCAGCGACGACCCCGAAGCCAGGCGGGGATGGAGGGCCCCCGACCCGGCCGCGATGCATTCATCGCCCCGGGCAGATCCCAGGGCTGGGTGGGCCGCATGCCCATGTTCACCGCCGACATGTACGGCCCGGCAGGATCCCGTCTGCCGGTGCGTCCCGGGACGGCAGGGGGCGCGAGGCCCCGGCTCCGAACAGCCTTCGCGGGGGGTTCATGCAGCCCCGCCCTGCGCGCATGTCCAGCAGCCCAGCAGCCCAGCCCCTCCCAGCCTCCACCCCCCTCCCCCACTCTCCCCCCCTCCCCCCCACGTACTACCCCCCTGGCGCCATCCCCTACCTGCACCCCGTGATGGTCCCCGGCATGCCCATGCCCGGCACCCACCTGGTCCTTGGCCCCGGGGGCTACCCCATGGCCATTGGGCCCCAGCCCCACCTGGGCGCGCCGCCCGCCGACCCCCGCCGTGGCCCCCGCCTGGGCAACGTCTTCTTCAAGACCCGGGTGTGCAACAAGTGGCGCGCCGGCTCCTGCCCCTACGGCGACCGCTGCACCTACGCGCACGGCGAGCACGAGCTGCGCGCCGTGGCGCCCGAGGCGCTGCCCTACCTGGACTCGCACGCCGCCGGCGGCGCCGCGCTGGGCTCGCGGGCGCGGGGCGTGCCGCCGTCCCACGACACCGCCAGCTCCGCGGACCAGAGTGGGAGCGAGTCTGGGACCTGGAACCCCGCCTCCCGCCCCTTCTACAAGACGCGCCTCTGCACCAAATTCATGCAGACGGGGCACTGCCACCGCGGCGGCGCCTGCACCTACGCCCACGGCTACGACGACTTGCGGGCGCGCGGGCAGGGGTGGGTGGGGACGCCGCGCCAGGGCTCCGGGTCCTCCCAGGCGCCCGGCACCTGCCTCTCCTCCTCCCTCAGGGCAGGCAGCGACGGCGACACAGGTCCGCACTTTGAGGGGGGTGGGGGCTGGGGGGGCGGGCAAGTGCTCGATTGGGGGATGGTATGAGTGGGTGGAGGTCCTTGAGGGGTGGCCCTGGGTCTACGCCTCCCTCTCCCTCCTCCCCCTCTCGCATCCGCGCACACCAACCCTGTGGTGGCCCCCGTGTTCACAGGGGAGCGGGCGGAGTCCGACGCCACGCCCGGCTCCGTCCAGACGCTCTCGCCCCGCGCGCCGACGGAGCGGGGCTGAGGGCTGTCTGCGCTCCAGTTCGAGAACAACCGCCGCTCGAACCCTGGCCCGTCTGCGCTCCAGTCCGAGAACAACCGCCGCTCGAACCCTGGCCCGTCTGCGCATTCCCTCTCCGAAATGAACCAGGGCCGGTGCCGAGCCCGCACCGATTGCACCCAGCTTGTATTTGCATGCATCTCCCCCCTCCGGCCTGCGCTGTGTCCCGCCCCACCCAGGCCCGACACGCCCGGCCCCTCCCTTCCCGCATGCGTGCGCTCCTGCAGAGCCCATGCCCCAGGCGATCGCCATGTGCCCCAGGCGGTTTGGCCCGGCGAGCCAGGGGCACGTGTCCGCCTGGGCTGGTCTGCTGATGGTGTCACTTGATCACTCAGTGTGCCTGCTCTCGTCACCCATGCCCGGGGTGCCATACGTAGCTTAGACTGTCATGGAAGGAAAGGAAGCGGTGAGCACGCAAGGTGCCAACAGGCAGGTGCGGGCCAGCCGCCGCCCCCTGGCTCCCGATGTGCGGCTGAGACTGGCCCGCGCAGGCGCGTCGTGCAGAACCCAAGCTGGCTGTGAAGGCGGGCACAGCCGTGCAGGGCGGCAGAGACGGGGTGAGATCACGAGGGCCACGATGCCCCTTCAGAACTTTGCCCAGTCGCGGTGCAGCGAGTCGGCGGCGGCGGCCGAGGCGCTGCGCCGCGCCGCCGCGACCCTCCCCTCGTCCAGCTTCTGCCGAGCTTCCGCGAGCGCCGCACGTGCGCGGGGTCCCATCACCGGGTCGCGGGCGTTGCGCGCCGCCGCGGCCTCCAGCCCCCGCACCCGCGCCTCCGCTGAGTCCAGCGATGCCAGGCGCGCCGCCTGCGCCCTGCGCCGCGCCCGCGCGGCCTCGCCCGCGTGGAGGCCCGGCCCAGCGCTGGGCGACGTGCCGGCGCGCGCCCGGGCGCCATCCTCTGTCGGCGCGGGGTGGGACCCATGCTCGCGACCCTGGGCATCTGAGCCACGCCCGCCCACCTGGTCCCCCGCCGGCCCGCCGAGGACGGAGTTGAGCACCGCAAACAGGCCGACAGAACCCGTCTCCATCTCCACCTGGTGCCGAGCTGCCGCCGCATCCTCGTGGCGCGCGGCGGCCGCAGCCGCCGCCTTGGCTCGCCTGGCCTGCCGCCCGCTCCGTCGTTTCCTTGCCGGAGCTGGTCGAGGGAGGGAGGAGTGGGTAAGGGGCTCCGTGTGCGAGCTTGGCTTCAGTGTGCATGCCTAGGATTGCATGCCATGCCCCCCCTTCCTCTCAGTGCAGCTCCGCCTCGACCGCTACCGGATGCTCCAAGCTCCCCACATTCGGCCCGCCTCTGGCCCCACACCCACCTGCCACGCCCAGGCCGGCACCCTGCGTTAGAACCACGGTCTGAAGGGGCTGGGTCTGCCCCTGCCCCTGCTTGCCCAGCCCCGCGCCACCATACCCCATGGCCACCATGAGCCTGCCTGCCACCCCCCGCGTGTGCGCTTCCCAGCTCGCGAGTCCGAGAGGGTTGGTCACGGGCACTGGGCCCTCCCCGGTCCCTTCCTCCTTGCTGTCATCAGAGGTGACGTCGGATGAGGACGCTGCCTCGTATTGATCACAGGAAGTCCAGCTCGGGTCGGCGCCGAGCTCGTCTTCCCCATGCCCAGCCGCCGCAGGTGCGAGATGGGCGGCGGGGACGGTCATCAGGGTGCCTGGTGCTCCTTGGACGGACCCCCTCACCCGGACGAGCACGGCGCCGGGGCCAGACGCCGAAGCCCCTGCCTCGATCCTGCCACGGGACCAGAGCCTGCAGCCGGGCTGAGGGGCCACCAGCACCGAGGCACCGGCCGCCGTCGGTGGGGCGAGGGCAGCCGGGGCGACGGCCGTCAGGCAGGTCGCTGCCAGTCGCAGGGGCTGCAGCTGGCAGGGCCTGCACAGGGCGATGTGGTCTCCGGGAGTGGCGCTGGCGTACAGTCAAGCACAGTTGGTCATAATCGCAAACAGTGCAGCAGGCCGCCACAAAGGGTGTCATGACCGATCCTCCAGAGAAACCTGTGGGGATGCCCGAGCAGCCCATCCTCACATGCATGGGTGGCAGAAGGATACCTCGATGAGACCGTCAGCCCCAGCCCCGCTCTCTACCAGGCCAAGATGGATCCGTCCATCTGTGTGTCTAAAAAGTGCCCGGTTCCCAGGTCTGAGCGTGGCATCAGTCTTTGCGGCGGCCGCATCCAGCCGTCTCAACAGGATATCCTTTGCGAGCTGGAGCAGGGCGGCCTCTACATCCTCAGCAACGGCCTCCAGCTCCCTCCGTAGCTGGCAACCGGGCAGGTGGCGGAGGGAGGGCGTGTCGGGCACTCATGACCGGCACACCTTGAGATCGCCCCTGGGCGGCATTCCCATCCTCTCGCTCGATGCAAACGATTCCCAGCCTCCCCCCTTGCGGAAACTCACGTGGATGATTTCAGGGCTGGCGTCCTGGTCGGCCAGCTCGGCCAGGGCCGCTCGCGTCTCCTCGAGCTGCTGTCGGAGCTCCGCCTCCAAAGCCTCGGAGGCCATGCCGATGGGTTGCCGGATGCCGTCCCATGCACATGGTGCAGAGCCCCGGTCACCCGGTACATGTTCCTCCCGCGGATCGCGGTGGGCTGCATCGCTGCCGTGCCTTCCTCTATGCTCTGCGTCCCCACGCATGTGTCGCTTGCGTCACAGCGGCGCCGTACAGGCAGGCCGCCACCGGCCTGAGGCCGTCGCAACCCGGCTTTCATCCGCCTCGCTGAGGTTTTACAATTGAGTCAACATCGGGAGGTGGCGATGGCAAGAGCGTTTCGCAGTACTCATCAAGCGCGGCCTTCATGGCCAGGGCATGCAGCGGCGGCTGGTGCAAGTTGAATACAAGTGTTCGACAGTAAGCAGGACTGAAAACTGAGCACTACAGTTGTGAGAGAACGCCAAGATGGGTCTTGATGGGGGGCCACGGCGAGGGCGGGGGGGGAGGAGGAGGCAATGTCCTGAGGACCGGGGGCTCGGACTGAGGGCCCTGCTCAGGCACAACTCCAGGGCTCTTCAGGCGGCCCACTCCTCTCCTCTTCATCCCCCCACCCTCCCTCCTTTCCTCACTCCCGCTCCACGCCCTCCACCTTCTGCTGGATCAGGCGCTGCGCCAGTGCCACGCTCTCCGGCGGCCCGCTGATCTCGCAGCTGCGGTCGTTGGTTCCCGGCAGGCACTCCCCCCGCCGGCTGATGCGGATGCGCACCCCCAGCACCGCCTTGATCTGGTTGATCACTGCGCCGCCGCGCCCGATCACCACCCCCACCCGGTCCTCCGGCACGGCCATGACCAGGCTGGTGGTCCCCACTCCCGCCGCCGCCGCCGCGGCAGCGTGGGGCAGGAAGGCCCCCGCCCCGCCGCCCGGTGGCGGCGCGGCGCCGCCCCAGGCCTCCGCCGGTGCCGCGGCGGGCGGACCGAAGCCGAGGCTGACGTCGGTGAGCAGCGGGTAGTCCGGGTTCTGGGACAGCTTGGTCAGCACCAGGGCCACCGCGCGCAGCAATTGGTCGGGCGTGCCTGTCAGCCGCACCACGCGCTCCGGGGGGTCGCCTGGCCCCGGGGGCGGCGAGATGTTGAACACCGCGCCCGACGCGTCCTTGAAGGAGCGGATGGTGGCGCCGCCGCGCCCGATCAGCGTGCCGCAGAGCCGGGCGTGCACCAGCATGCGCAGCGCCATGGCGCCGTCCTCGCGCGCGGCCACGGCCGCCAGCGCCGCCAGCTCCGACCGGAAGGTGGCCAGCACTGCGTGCAGCGCGGTCAGCAGCGCGTCCAGCGTCCCCGTGATCAGCAGCAGGCGGTCGTGGGCAGGGGGGGCGCCAAACTCGCCCAGCGTGCCGGGCCAGGGCTCCCCAATCTTGCTCAGCTGGGGTGGGGAGGGGTGGGAGGGGGAAATGGGCGGATGGGCGGGGAGGAAATGAGCGGCAGGGTGGCCGTTGAAGGGGGGGGGGCTCCTGGCGAGCTGCACCAAGGGACACATGCGTCGCCTGCAGGCCGCCGCCCTGCCCCTGGGGGCCAGGCCCGGCGCGATGCAGGCAGTTCGTCTGCTCCCTTTGGACCACCGGGCGCGGACCAGGCCGGCCTGGCCAGCACGCCCCACCTGGATCCTGGCCTGGGACTGGGCCTGGATGTCCGACACGTTCACGCCCCCCTTGCCGATGATGCTGCCAGCTGCCACGTTTGGGACCAGAAACTTGACCTGCGCAGGGAATGGAAGGGTGCGGAGCGTCACGCGCGGTACGCGCGAGATACGGGCGGGGCGTTGCGTCCCGGATACTGCCCCGGCACCCTCACCGCGAGGCGGGGCGCATCCTCCTGGGCGGCGTGGGGGGCGTCGCCCGGCTCGTCCAGGTACAGCTGTGCATCCAAAAAGTCCGAGTCGTCGGCCTGGGGCGGGGGGCTGGCCCCCTCCATGCTCCCGGACATGACGTGCAGGGCACCGGTCCAGTGGGTGGGTGGGTGGTGCAGGCCCTTGTCGAGCGCGCCTCAACGCGGTGTTTTGACAGACTCCTTATATCTCCATGACTAATTATAGAACAGCATGATACAACCTGGGCGTTTCTGCGCTGTCTTTGCACGCCCGAGGGTTGTGATTCACGTTTTCACCCGACACACCTGATCAACACCGCGGCGCCCGTACACACAAGATCAGGCAGTGCACCCGATCCTCTTACGGAATCTCACATACGATCCCGCTTTCCTGCTCGTAGGCCCAGCATATATGTCCCCCGATCCCTCGCACGAAGGCCATCTACGCTCAGGGCCTGCCACACATCCCTGGGACCAGAGTGCCTAGCCTCCTCAGCCCGTGGCCTGTACGAGCGCGCACCGGCCAGGCGAGGCCAACAGTTGTCCCGACCTTGGTTGCAGAGGGCGTTCAATGCATGTCGCCGACGCCACCGAGCTGGGCGTGAACATCCGCACCACCCACGCCCAGGACAGGCGGCGTGGGCGTGCGGGGAAGCAGCCCACCCTGCTCGGCACGGCGGTCAACTGCATGCAGTGCGGCAAGGTGCGCGGTGAACTGGTAGATGCTGCACCAGCCGGACACCCCAGCACACCATTCCATCAGGTTTGGGGGGGCCCTTAGGCATGCAGCTGCATGAATGGCCGCGCAACTCCCGATGGCCCCGCCCTACCTGCGGCCCCAGGTGTATGTTCTTCGCCTGGCAAGCCCCGAATCGGAGGCGCTGATCAAGGCACAGGGCGCGTGCTCCTTCTGCGGCGGCCCTGTGCGCCTGCGCTGGAGCGACGGCACGTCCTTGGCGGCCCCCGCCGAGGAGCCCCAGCACGCCGAGCTGCGTGCCGGGCTGCTGGAGTACCTGAGGCGCTCGCCTGTCCAGGCATGCACAGCGCCCCAGCCAGGGCAGGAGGCGGAGGGCGCTGCGAGGCAGGGGTGCAGCGGCGCCACCCCGGGGGCTTCCCCGCTTGGACCCCGGGAGGAGACGCCCGGCAGGCAGCGCGTGCGCCCAAACCCGGGAACATCCCAGCACACCTACGTTCCGGGGCCAGATTGGGACCCAGACCAGGCCGCCTCTGGCCGACGCACCGGGGTCAAAGCACGGGAACCTGACACCAGGGGCTCACGAGCACGGGCGCCTGTACCCAGCGGGCCCCGCAGGACTATACCGGGCCTGGCGCCATGAGATCCTGGCTCATCGAACGAGGTACCCGGCCTGTGCTGAGATAGGAGCAGATCTGTTGAGGAACGCCCTCCAGGGAGTACATATGGCATCCAGAGGATGGCGATTGTGCGTCCAGGGGTAATAGCTTTGAGGCCTGGCGTGTTCCAGGCTCACTTGTGCCAGGGAGCAGAACGTGGTTCATTCGAATGCTTCACCCTGGGTGCCTACTTGCATGGAAAACCACAGGGGTGACTGACCCATGAGCCGCGAAATGGCGGTTGGACCTTCACATGTTACATGGAGCCCTTCAATGGTTTGTATCTGGAGCTGTCAACATGGACATATGTTCTCTTGTTGGCGAGATCAGGCGTTTGAAGACCTTGCAGGGCAAGCGGGGGTGGGGGGGGGCCCCTTGGAGATCATCGGCACCAGCTCTTTGCCCACCCTGGAACCTGTGAAAGGGCTTGCCACCTGATCCCCGCAAGCTCTTAAACAGCCGCATGAGAACCACGAGGAAAACAGCATGCCACGGGCTTTGGGGTATTCCATTACGTGTGATGATGGGGGGATGCAGGATGGCAGTGTGCAGAACAGAGTCATGTCAGACAGTCCTCAGTGATTATTGCCGCCGGGGTCTCATGCGTAAGCCAACATACGGGTCTTTTCCGTCCGAAAAAACATGCCGAGTCTACGCTGAGTTTTACTATGACGATCGAGCGGTCACCCAGCACATCTCCCCGAGCGGAGTTGATCCTCCCCATGAGGATCATCTACGTTCCATTCGGGGGTATCATCTTGCATTCGGATCTCGACCATCCCAGGACGATTCTGCTGTCATTCGACCCGAGCCATCTTCAGACCTCACAATATATGATACATCAACACTCAGTATGGGTCTAAGGCTTCCATCGCAGGCTGGACTCCTTGTTCCGCGTAGCCTTGCCCAGCCCCTCCCCCCCGACCAGCTTCGAATATACCCCACGGAGATCCGGCTATCCGCAGCTGGCGGACCGCTTGACAATTGTCGCCCGCACATCCTCAGCCTGAAGCTGCGCCACTATTTAAAGCAAACCCAAGTCTACACACTCTTCCATCTGTTCATTGTATCTGTGTGTCGCGATGAGCATATTCGCGTGGCTCCTAGTCGTGGCATTGGCCGCATGTGCGGCCCCAGATGCGGTGGGCGCCCTCGCCTCCACGGCTCCTCGCAAGTCTGCCCCCTTCCAGACACGCAACCTGATCGAAAACCACCAGAAAGGCTTGAAGCTTAGGGTTTCCACCACCTCTATCGACACCTCGGGCCAGTATGTTACGGTCTCATGGTCCGGCGTCGAGGTGCGCTGCGGGGTGAGGCGGGGCTGCGACGGCCAGCACCAGCTCCATCACCCTACCAACCCATGGCATCCCTTCCCACAGGACCCAGCTGACACGGATATGGTTGCCATGTACCTGGCAGACAGGGATCCATCCGAAACCTGGCCCATGAAGTACATCTGGACCTCTACGGTGCCCAATGCCCAGAGGAGGGGTGCTGGACAGTACTTGTGAGTCGTTGAGCTGTGCGATTATCTGCTGAAGGTGCATGGGGGCAGAGGCTACTGGATGAGCCATGCCTTGTTCCATACCCTTTTTGTCTGGAATGAAGTTGCTGGGCCTCCCTCATGGCCAAATGCCCAACCCTGCACCCTACACATTTGTGCCTCCTGCAGCTTCCAGGTCTACAACTACTATGAGCCCATCAAGTTTGTCTTCCTGAGGGGCGCATTTGGCGACAAGTTCATCGCGGCCACCTCAGAGAACATCACCTCCACCAACCCCCAGCAGCCCACGCAAGTGAAGCTGGCCTTCACCGAGGATCCGAGGTGGGCGGGGATGACTGCCGGTTGAGGTACTGGCCATGGTACTGGCCATGGGCATGTGGCCCGCCGGCCTCAGCCTCCTCTGTGCGGGTGCTCAGTGTGACCCTGGCCCGTCATAGGGTGCGCTCTCCGGCCTGACATTCCCTTCCTCCCATCCCCCGGTGCAGCGAGATGCGGGTCACCTGGCTCACCCAGTATGAGGGCAACCCCATCATCAGGTACAGTGGGCAGGTCGTGCTGCTTGTTCAGAGCAATGAGGAGTCAGCGGGGACCCCGCCCACCACCCCTTCCCCCTGCTCTTCCCCCTCCTCTCCACTCAGGTACGGCCTGAGCAAGAAGGACCTGTCCCTCTCCGTCACGGCCAACGTCTCGACCTACACCCCTGCTGACCTGTGCGACGCCCCGGCCAACTCCACTGGCTGGAAGGAGCCGGGGACGATTAACAGCGGCGTGATGACTGGCTTGGAGCCCAACACCCGCTACTACTATGTCGTAGGGGACGAGGTGCGGGGGCCTGTTGGCTGACGCGGCCCAGTAGGGTCGCATGGGCCAGGGCAGGCGGGTGTGGCTCCCGCAGCCCCGAGAGTTCGCCCCCCCCCCCCCCACCTATCACCACCTCGCACACACACACACACGAACGTGCACCGCGCAGGGCGAGGGCCCCTCCTCCAAGGTCACCAGCTTCATCAGCGCGCCCACCCCCGAGGACACCGTTCACCTGCTGGCACTGGCCGACCTGGGGCAGTACAACGAGGACGGCAGCCGCAACTTTGCTTACTGGTACCAGTACTACGAGCCCGCCGACGAGTTCTATGCCATCGACACCATGCAGTACACGGTGGGGCCGCTGCCTGAGGGTGGCCGCGGGGGTGAAGAGTGCCTAGGGTGGGTTAGGACCAACCGGGCGGCCCCAGTTGCAGAGTGCCCTTGTCATGCAGCCCTTGACCTCTTACCGGTCCAGCTGTGCTCCAGCCACACGCCGCCCACACAGCCCCTCTCCAACCCCTGCCTCAGATGATGCACATGATCCTGGCGGCAGTCAACAACGAGGCGGAGCAGGACGGCACAGTGGTGACATACCCCGCCCTGCACATGGAGGCCCGGACCGGGAAGTACCATTCCGCCTGGCACAACGGTGACGTGTCCTACGCGCGCGGCGCCGAGTGGCAGGTGAGGAGTGGGGGGGGGGTGACTGGACGGGTTGGGGCGGGGGAAGTCGATCCAGCGAAGCCCGCCCCTGTGCAGGGGCATTTTGCACCTTGTACCACGACCGGCGCCTGCAGGCGGTAGGACGCCAGGCCCCTGCGCGCTCGGCGGCTGGGCAGGTGCCTGCCCAGCCATGCCGCAAGCGTGCACTCACACTGTGTACACAACCCCCACCCCGTCCTCCCACACCTTCCCCTCCCTCAACCACTGCAGTGGGACACCTACGGGCACCAGATCGAGCCCGTCACGAGCCGCATCCCCACCATGTACACGATGGGAAACCACGAATACGACGATCCCAACGCCTACGACAGCAGGTTCAGCACCTCCGTGGACAGCGGTGAGCGGCTGTGGCACATGTTTTGTACAGGCAATTCTCTGCACGCACAAACACAGCAATGTGGGGCATGGAATCGCTAGGCTTTGTCCAAAGGGCGGTGTCGTGGCAGCCAAGACATCCACAGGCAATATCCGATTGTCCCCAAACCTTCCTCCGCTCCCTCACCAACTTATGAATCCCCAATGCACACGGTACCACACCAGGTGGCGAATGCGGTGTGGTGCAGCAGAAGAGGGCGCCCATGCCCACTGTCACCGAGCGGGACATGTTCTACTCCATCAACCACGGCCCCATCCACTTCCTGCAGCTCAGTGAGCCGGTGGTGATGGAGGGATGGGGGACAGCGTGCCCCTGAGGCTTGCATACCGCAGGAAAAAATGGAATGAGAGGGAGAGGGCAGCCACATGCGCTTGCCCTGTGCCAAGCAAATGCGTCCTTCCCCCACACCTATCCCACCCCCCCTCACCCTGCGCTCACAGACACCGAGGCCAACTTTGAGCCTGGTTCTGCTCAGCACGAGTGAGTCAGGGGGGTCAGAATTGGGCCGATCGCGCAGTGCCTGTCGTGCTCACTCCCACGGAGCTCTTGAGGCCAGGTCTCGGTCAGTAGGGCCGCACCGCCCAGGATTCAGTGAACAAGCCCTCCTCCACCCTTCCCTCCCGCCCTCACAGCTTTGCGGTCGCCGACTTGGCCGCCGTCAACCGCAGCGTGACCCCCTGGGTGGTGGTCGGCTTCCACCGCATGATGTACACGGATTCGTACTACGGCTTCACCCCCACCTCCAGCCAGGTCGTGGCGGCCGACATGCGCGCCGCCTTTGAGGACCTCTTCTTCGAGTACGGCGTCGACATGACCTGGCAGGTGTGTGGGGGCGTGCTCTCAAGTATCAAGGGATGGGGTGTGCTGGCCGGGGTAGCAGGAACTGTCAGCGGTGGGGTCGCTGCAGGACCATTCAGTTCTTCCCATGCAACCCCTGGACGCTTCCTCTTCGAAGCATCCGCTCGAGGGCAAGCCGCTGCCTTGCATTTGCCCAAGACCATGCCCGTCCCTGACAAGGACCGCCACCCTCCAACCACCGAGTCTAATGCTGGCTCCCTACTCCTCGCTGCTGATCATAGTCGCCCCTCCCTCGGTCCCTCCACATCACCACCCTCTATCCGGCCCCCGGCATACTCACCCCCCTTGGCCCCATGGACCCCCCCCCAGGGACACCTGCACAACTACCAGCGCACCTGCCCCGTCTACAACAACACCTGCGTCGACTACGATGACGAGGGCGTGGCTCGGGGGCCCATCCACGTGACCATGGGGCACAACGGCTTCATGCTGACCCCCTTCTACCAGCCCGAGGCCCCCAACGCCTTTGACGGGCAGCCCACCTTTGCGTCCTTTGGCTACTGCCGCGCGGAGGTCAATCGCACCCACTTCAACCTCCAGGTGACAGTGCTTCCCTATGGGGTTCAGGATCGGTCCTCTGCAAACGCCCTGCAGCCACGCCACGGGGCATGACAGGGCACATCCAGGCCCCCTTGCCACCCCTTGGGTCCTCGGGGATGGTCTTCCCCCCAAAACATTGGCTTGTTGGCGCTGACAGTCCTCCCACCTTCAGCCAACTCAATCTGCACTCTCATTGACCCCCCTCCCCCCCCCCCTCCTCTCCCAAGCTCTCTCAACACCCTCCCATTCCCACTTTCCTCCCACTCAGATGCTCGACTCCCTGCGCATGGAGCTGCGTGACGAGTTTGTGCTGTACAAGCCCGAGGGCTGGCAGCTGGACCGGGAGGCCAACCTGCAAGTCATGGCCAGCGTCACCCCCGTGCCCTTCCCCATGCTGATCCCGATCTCCGGTTGGGGCGCGGTGGTCGAGAAGATCTTCCCCCTGCTGGCGATGCAGGACCTGGCAGGGGCTCTGGAAGCCTTTGGACCATGTAAGGGGGTCCCATGATGAGGCTCGAGGGGGAAGCAAGGGTGATGGTGGGGTGAACATGCAGCCCCAGCCCTCACCCCCGGCCCCAGTCACGGTCCAAACCTCTGCCTCGCTCCCACAGCCACCAACATCTGGAAGGTCCTCAATGGCAAGTTCAGGGATTTGGAGGGACCTTTCATGCTCAAGACCGTCAACACCATCATCGACTTCGTGGATGCGCGCCTGAATGCCACCATCCTGGAGGTACAAACTGATGCATGCTTGCAGCCAAGGGGGTGGTGATGTGTCGCAAGCACATGTCAGGGGCTGTGCGCGCACGTTCCCTGTGCATTCTCTGCTGGACGGATAAGACGGGAGAAGCCTACCCTTCTCGCGGCATATGTCATCGTCCTGAACCTCAATATCCATGCGCAGGTCCTTGCAAACGGCGCCCTCCCCGCCCCCGCTGAGGACATCATGGCCTCCTACGACTTTGTTGCGTCCGCCTGGAAGGGGCGCATCGCTTCCCTCATCTCCTCCGAGGTGGTGTGAGCCTGTGACAGAAGAATTTCCGCATTGACGCCGAAGAATGTCTAAGGGGTGAGGTCAACATCCTTGCAGAGTGCGGCGGCTCCAGCCGCTGGATCCCTAATATCCACCCTTGAAGCAGCAGGATGCTTTTGAATGGCATTCCTTGTTCTACATTGCGATTTCTAATATTGCTGTACTCCATCATGGGAACATCAAAGCATGGGCGGTCTTCAGTCCCACAACGGTATTGAAGGAAATGCAGATGCCCTCCACAAAGCAAAGCCCCTGCGCTATGGCGCTGAGAGCGACCTTCAGTCGCTGAGATCGGCATGGTGGGGGAGGGTGTCCTGCCCCCCGAAAGGGTCCCCCCCCCTCGCTCCAGCTCGCTATCAGCGCCGTAGCACGCACGGTGCGAGAAGGCAGCCCGGCCTGCGACGCGGCGCGGTTTCCCGGTCCAGAGATTGCTGCTGCCGTGCTCCTCGAGTGCATCCGGGCAGGCCACGGTCATGACGCGGTCATCCATCCCCGCCAGTGCCCCGCGTTCCTGGAGCTCCTGGGCCCCAGGTGCCTCGCGCTCCGAGGCGACCCGGGCCCCGGCCGGGCCGGGGTCGGCGCCCCTGCGCCCACCCTGGTGCACCTGGAGGCCCACGCCGTACCGCGCCCGCTGCAGCCGGCCCCCTGCGCCCTGCCCGGCCTGCGCTGCCTGCACCTCACGGCGTGTCCGGCCGGCGTGGCCCAGCTGCTCCCTGCGCTGCGCGCGCTGCCGGGCCTGCGCTGCCTGCGTCTGGACGCCGCCAACGACGCCCTGGTCTGCGCCGCTGTGCGGGCCTGCCCCGGCCTTGCCTCCCTGCACCTGGCCGGCAGCGGCTCGGTCACTGGCCGCAGCGTGCAGGCGCTGTGTCACGGCGCGGCGCTGGCGGCCGCAGGCCGAGGGGACGAGGCCTGGCCGCCGCTGCAGCTGACCACGCTGTCGCTCGCCCGCACGGGCGTCGGGGCGGGGGAGCTCAAGATGCTGTGCGCGCTGCGCACGCTGCGCACGCTGGACGCCAGGGGTATCCGGGGTTCCGCCGCCGCGCTGGTCCCGCTTGGCGCGCTGCTGGGCCTGACGCAGGTCCAGACGGGGGTTCTGGCTTCCTCCGCTGCAGGGGCGCAGCTGGTGATGGGCGGGCGCCTGGACTGCTCGTGCAGCAGAGAAGCAGGTGGGGCATGGGGTTGAGGGGGGCCACCTAGGTAGCAATCACCCGCCTGTTTTTGCAAAGCTATCCTCACAGTATGAGGTCCTGCCGGGCTGCGGGTGACGCGGCGCCGGTGCTCCCTGCCGCACAGAGCCAAGGTCGGCCGCGGTTCGCAAGGCGGCCTGCGTGCTGGCATGGGCCCTTGTGGGCATCCCCTGGGCGCTGCGGGAGCAGGCGCCGCCAGGCTTTGTCCTCGCTGTCGACGACGACCTTGGGTCAAGCGGCCACGAGCGGGAGACAAAGCGACGAAGGCGCCTGGCCCCGTGATCGAGGATCGCCCCTGTTCCTTGCTCCCCACCTCCAGCCCCTTGTCTCTTCCCTCACTATTCTTCACCAGCACTGATACCTACTTCCCAGGGATATCACACTCTGCACCCCTACGGAATGGCCCACCTGCTTTCACGTCCAGTGCCCTGCAAGCATCATGCATTTGGCTCAGTTTCTCAGTGCATGATGCCAGCAGCGCCCAACACCCACGACCGCAGCAGCGCGGGTCAGCTGGTTGGCTGCCCGGCAGCGGCTTCCCGGCCGCTGACAGACTGCCGCCTTTCCCGTGACTTGACGCTGAGGTAAGGGTGCGCCGCTGCCGCCGCCACGTCCAGCCGGTCCTCTTGCTTGTATGCCAGGCAGCTGTGCAATGGTGTGGGACAAGGGTGGTGAGGATTCGAAGGCACAGAGGAAGGAGGGTCAATGGCTCAGTTGTGCAAGGAAATGGCCTGACGCTGTGTGTGGCACGGTCCCCAACCAGAATCCACCTGCGGATGAAGTCCTTGCATTCTTGGGAGATGGCTGGCTTGGTGGGGAACTTCACCTCCCGCGCGTTGAGCATCACCTGTGGGATGTCGAGTGGCGTGGCGGGGGCTAAGGGAGTATTTCACGCATGCTGGAGCAGATTTGGGCATCCACCAGCACAAAGGAGCCCTGTGGCTTGGGGCTCCTTTTATCACAATTAGAAGCACCTCCTGGAAGGGCCCCTTTGGAGCGTCCAGCTTGAGTGGACAGGTTGCGTACCTCAGGGGAAAACATTCACACCGCACAGGGCCCCACCTTCTCAGAATGCCAATCATTAGATACCATCCAGACTCCCTATCCCCCCAAGGCATCTGATCGCCCCTCCCCAAGTACCCCTTTCCCCCTCCCCCCCCCCCCGCCGCACCTCATTCCTGAGGATCTGTTCCTGGGACTGGTCGTGGCCAAAGGGGCGCCTGCCAAGCAGCATCTGGTACAGAATGACGCCCACGCTCCACACGTCCACCTTGTTGCTGATGAGCGGCGTGCGCCGTACCTCAAAGCACTCGGGCGGCAGGTACCAGTAGGTGCCGGCGCCCTGGGAGGTCAGCTCCATGCCCATCGTCTGGCCGTCATCAACCACCTTGCTCAGCCCAAAGTCGGTGAGCTTGACCTCCCCCACGCCGTCAAACAGGATGTTGGCAGGCTTGAGGTCGTAGTGGATGACGGAGTGGGGCTTGGTGTTGAGGTACTGCAGGCCGGACAGCACCTGGGTCACAATGGTTCGTGCCTCCTTCTCCGGCAGCACCTGGGGTCAGCGGAGAAGGGGTCGGGGAGGGGGTGGGTGGATGGGAGCAAAGAGGGCGGCGAGGGGCTCTGGGGCCATCAGCGTGGCAATCATTGAAGGGAGACCCCATCACCACCCTGGGAGTAGGACATTTCCAAGACGCCGATCTGCAAGGGGCCTCGGCGAGCCCAGGTCCCGCCTCCGCCTCTCCGCCTTCTCTCCCCCGCCATTCCAAATCCAGCGCCCGCCCCACCTCGTGCAGTTTGCAGTAGGAGTCGAGGTCGCCGCCCTCACACAGCTCCAGCACGGTGGCAAAGGTGTTGTTGTCGATCTCAAAAATGTCCACCAGCGACACGATCCTGCAGCAGCAGGCGCGGGAGGAATGTGAGCCTCGATATACCGCGGTCCCCTGCGCTGCAACCGTCCAGGCACGTCTTCATCCTCCCCCTCCTGCTGTCTGAAACCGAATGCAGGCCCCGGAGGAGGGCACACCGACCTCTCCCAGCATCTCAACCACCCCATCCTAGCCTCGGCACTCCACTCGCACCTGGGGTGGTGCAGCTTCTTGTGGATGTGGTACTCCCGCACCGAGTGCTTGACATAGGACGCCTTCTTCAGCTCGCTCCACTGCCCGTTCAGCTGGTGGATCTTGCAGGCCACGTCACGCTGGCTGGACAGGTCAAAGGCACGATACACCTCCGAGAAGCCGCCCCGACCCAGGAGGTCCAGCAGGACATAGCGGTCGTTCAGCACGGGGAAGTTGGAGAAGCGGGACGCGTCCTCGTCCCGCACCCGCTTCAGGTCCCTGTGGGAAGCAGGAGGCACAGGGGGTTCCATGAGACTCAGTGTGGGGCGCATCACAGGTGGTGTAGATCCTTGGGGTTGCATGGACACAAAGCTCTCTCCGGGATGGCTGGCTGATGAAGCATGGAATGGGGGTTTCCATACATCGAGTTGTCACCGAACGAGCACCCAGCCGTGTGCAGGGTCCAGAACACGACCAGAGACGGCATGGATGCGTTCAGCCTCCCTGCCACTCCTGCCCGATGCCCCCAAAGCGTGGCTGGATTACTGTCAGGGAGCCACGTACCCAGCACTCCAACAATCATTGGCCTGCCGTTCGTTCCACCCACCTGATGTACAGCATCTTCTCGGTCTCCAGGCGGGCCAGGTCGACCTTGACCATCTCCTCCTCCCGCTTGGTGGCTGCCAGCCGTGCCTTGTAGATCTCCTCCTGCCGTGGCATGGGTATGGAGGCGGAGAATATGTAGCTTCAGTACAGTATGTCTGAAGAAGAGCTGGAGCTCTGTATCGGTCTGGGGCCACATCCCCTCCTGGGTGCCTGTCCGTTTTCGTCTGCACAGTGTTTCCAGGCACTCCCACCTGGACGACCCAGTCCTCTGGGTGGAGGGTGGACGTCGACGTCCCTGCAGCGTCCGTGCCCTCATTCCTCTCCTCTGGCAGCGGCTGCCCCGGCAGCGGCAGCCGCCGTTTGGCCGCCTGTCAGGTTGGAATGGTTGTTGCTGTTGGGGTTTGTGGGGTCTCAGGTTTCCTGTCAGTCATCCTGCCACTGCTCATGCGCTGTGTCCCCCCTTCGGCATCTAATACCACCCAGTCACCCAGCCCGGTATTAACACCTTCTCCCCCCCCCCAACCCCACCGCCCGTCCGCACCTTCCTGGCGGCCTCAATGGCATCGCGCTGCTCGGCCAGCGCGGTGAGCTTGGCTCGCAAATCCCTGAAGGCCTGGCCCTCCTCCCACACCTCCTGCACCTCAATGCCGCGCCGGCGCACGCCCAGCGACCCCAGCCGCGGCGCCAGCGCGCGCAGCGACTGTGCCGTGCTTTCCCGCTCCAGCGCCGCGCAGGTGCGGGCCAGGCGTAGCAGCGTGGCGCGCACGTGGGCGATCTGCGCGGCGCCCGCGCGCCGCGCCTCGCCCAGCTCCGCCTGCATGGCGGCGAGGCGGTCCTCCGCGTCCTCGCGCGCCGCCCGCGCCGCCTGCAGGTCCCGCCTTGCCTCCTCCGCCTCCATCCTGGATTGAGTAAGGGGGGGGAGGATGAGGGGGGGAGGACTGGTCGGGACTTGAGAGCTTTGGCTTCCCGAGCGGTCCGAATTTCCACTCTGACTCCTGCACAGAGGTCGCATCAGGACAGGGGGGCTCCGTTCCTCTCCTCCTGATCATTGACCAAAGCCGCTGCATACCATGCCTCCACAACTTAGGCACAACACCCACTTGAGCTGGGCTGCATGCAGCTCGGCGGCGGCAAGCGCGGCGGTCTGGGCCTTGACCGCAGCCTCCACCGCCGCCATGCCGTCGCTGCTGTTGGCATTGCTGCTGGTGGAAAAGTAGCGGCTGATGGTGTTGCGCTGGCGACGGGAGCTGGGGGGGCTGCTGGCAGCTCCGCGGCTGGCCTCGCGGTCCCGCTCCTGGGGGTGGGCAGTGGGCCGGAAAGGGGAGAAGCCGGGGAGGGAGTTCTGGGGTGGTGATACACCACCCCTGCCACCAGCGGCGCCGGGACCGAGGGAGGTTCGCCGGCGTTTCTTGGTGGCGTTGATGTCCGTGCTGAGCTCTAGACCGTCTAGGCTGTGCCACGGCGCCTCCGTGCGGTGGGACTCGGGTGCGTCGTTCTCTGGGCCGGGGGTGCTGTCGCGGGCGCCGGGGCAACTCAGTTGCGAATTGGCCTCGCGGCTCGTGGCGGGGGAGGGAGGGATGGCGAATCGTTTTTCCAGCAGTGCCAGGCGAGCCTCATTGCTCCCGTTCAGGTTCCCCAGCACCGCCATGACGTCGGAGGGCACTCCTGACGCCATCCCTGTTCGATGGCTGAGGCCAGACTCCGGGACGCTCGTCAGACAACCAGGGGCTATGATTATGAAAAATCAACCGATCATTGCTGGGCGATCATTGTGCATGCGACGATGTTGGGCACCCTCTGTGCACCGCAAGATCATGAAGCCTGCTGCTTTAAAAATTGAACTCGACACCCCTCTCCCGCGCTTGAGACTCTGGTGAGCATCCGCTTAATTGCAGAGAAATAGCGCCTTGGGCCGCTAATTGCCTCAACTACAAAATTTAGGGATGTGATCATGAGGTATGGCATGCTCTGTTGTCGATGGGTCCACCTCATAGTGTGGGTGCTCTTACGTGGTCTTCAGCCCACATTCTGATGAACAGCCAAATTTGCGTATATGCAGTCCTAACTTCACAATTCTACTCGACCTACGTAATAATACGTGTTACTGACCAACAATTATTCCTCTTGCATACCTGAGCGTGCCCTGTCGGCAACCGGTGCTCAAGAATATCAGTGGGTACAAAGCATGAAGCATTTAACCTCGACTTCCTCTGGCTCCGCCCGAGAGTCCCCAAGAAATAAAACGATGATTCCGAGGAATCGACCGGCGACCCTCAAAGAGAGGGAACTACTTGGTAATTTACATATTTATTTCATCCAACGCTTGTTCTTGCACCCCACCAGTGTAGTCGGGGAGCGACAGGAGGAAATCCCCTGCCCTGACCCACACGGGTTCCATGCCGGAGGCCAAGCACAAAAAGACAGAGGGCTCTCCCCCAACCGCGGAGCATGCATGTCGCAAGATGGTGGATCGCGGCTGGGCCGGGCCCTACCTGCGCTACATCAACATCCTCCCCGAGGAGGGTGTCTGGCTGGGATCGGTTCTGCTCCTCGTGCGCAGTGAGCGCCTGGGCGCCTCACGCACGCCCGCCCAGCCCCCCGCCGAGTCTGCCGACCGCCCCACCAGGCCAGGGGACACCCAGTCCCATGACATCACCGCTGAGATGGTGATGTGGGAGGCTGATGGCAAGGAACAGGGCCAGAGCACCTCCCAGGGGGTGCTGCTGACCGAGGTGGAGGGGTGGCAGGCCTGGCGCTTCGGCATCAGCCTGTCGCTGCACCGCTCCCAGCGCCCCATTGCCTACCATGTCGCCGTGGGGCCTGTGCAGACGGAGCAGTGCGTGTTCTGGATTCCAGGGGGCGGCCAGCCCATGCACTGGGGGTACGTGTGTTGAGCAAGGGCTCAGGGATGAGGTTGGTAGGGCGCCGCACATGCCTGTATTCATCGTGTACAGGACTCAAGGAGGGAGACTACTTTGCTTGTTGTTCTTGCAATACCCTGTAGAGTATCTTGGTGTAGCGAGACTGACAACCCCTGACCCATTTGACCAAACATGTCCTCCATCTTCACGCAGCTACACCTCCTGCAACGGCCTCAGCTCGGTGAGTTTTGTAGGTGGGAGGGCTAAGGAGCCCTGTTACACCCTGACAAGGCATGCAATGGACCTCCTGGGATGGAAGTGAGAGTGTAATTTGCAAGGCACAAGCACATGCCTCCCTTCCCTGCTTCCCAGGATGTTCCCGAGGATGCGCCCGAGAGGCAGGATGCGACATACCTCTGGCGGGACCTTCTACAGCTGCACGACGCCTACCCCATGCACTGCCTCTTTGGCGGAGGTGAGACGTGGGAATGGTGTTTGCAGTAGGAGGTCTCTTTGGAGGGAGATATCATGAGACTCTTCCCAACAGGTTGTGACACGCCTCAAGCGCGCGGCATGCATGGTCACTCCCCAAGGCAGGCCGCTGCGGTTCAGTTGACAAAGGCACACCCTGGGCCCCATCCATCCCTCCCAACCCTCCTGCTCTAGGTGACCAGGTTTACAATGACTTGGTGTGGTCTGAGCCTTCGCTCAAAGAATGGGGAAATCTGGAGGACAGGTGAGCAAGCTCGAAACGCAGCAAGATCAATGGCGCTGAGGCCTCCTTGCAAGCATCAGCCACCTGACTCTGTACTCACTGGGCGGTGGGGAGAGTACGTTTGCACACTGCTGACCTGCCCCAGCTCAGCCGGCTTGCATGTTCTGTTCACGACTTGAACCCACGTGCCTGTCCCTGTCCTTCCTCCAGGGAGGCAAAACTGTCGGCGAACTGGACGCCTGAGATGGAGGGTGAGGCCACCGAGTTCTACTGCCGGAACTACATCGACACCTTCTCCACCACCCACATTGCCACGGCCATGGCATGCATCCCACAGCTCATGCAGTGGGTGAGCCTCGGTGGATGATGGGGGAGGGAGGGAGATTTTTCATGGCCTTGTACTGTGCATGCTCCTCGCGATTCTGCCTGCCTGCTTGGTGCGGGAGCATCAAACTGAGATGCTCCCACCTTCCCCACACTCTCAGGATGACCATGACATCTGGTGCGGGGACTGTACGCGGGGGGCATGATGTGTCTTGGAGGTGAAGTCGACTGATCCTGCACAGGGATGTCCATCGGCACATCTGATTGAGCGTGCTCGCCCTAGGTTCCCACAGTCATCAGCTTGCACATGCAAGTGCTGTCCTGCTGATCTGCCTGGCCCTCAACCGACTGCTTTGCAGGGATGGCTGGGGTTCGTACCGCGAGGACGTCCAGTCCTGCTTTGTGTTCAAGGTGTGCACGCGAAGCCCATCGTGCTGGGATGGGCGTCCTTGGTGCAGACGTGGCCTGCCTCTCAGTTCTGCTCAACTCAACCTTGTCATGTCGGCCTGTGCATACAAGACATACAGCTCCGCGCCTCATCTCTGCCCTCCTCCTGACGCAGGGCCTGTTCCAAGTGGCGAGGCGCTTTTTCCTCCTGTTCCAGAAGCACACCACCGTGGAGCGGGTCGACAAGGAGGGCGAGTTCCTCAATAAAGGGTGGGCCTCTGGCCTGAGGGGTGTTGGGTCGGAGGTCTTTGGGGTTAGGCAAAAGTAGGTGCCTTGCTATCCTCTTCTAGCCAAGCCACCAGCCCTACACATTGCAAGCAGGAGACTCTCCCAGCATCCTGGCTCTTTCACCCACAGATGACACCACTCATGGGTTGTTGTTCAGTGCAGCCTTTCATTCCCTCCCTCCTCCAACCCCCTTGCAGGAGCTACCACAGCGTGCATTACCTGGGTCCCACTGTTGCACTTTTCTCTGTGGACATGAGGACCCAGCGGACCCGCTCCGTCTGTGTGCCAGAGGTGGGAATTGAGTTTTTAGGCCGGGGACCGGAGCTGCCAAGCAGCCAGGCACATGCTGTTGGGAGTGCACTCCTGACTCGATCTGTGCTCCAGTGGGGGTGCTTGCCTGGCTCACCGGGCGTGGCGTGCCCCTCATTTGCCATTCGCTGAAGCGAGCGGCCCCAACCCATCCCTATCGATAATTTGCAGGCTGATTATCCCCTGCTGCTGCAAGCGGCTCAGGCACTCCCAGTCACAGTAGAGCATCTGGTCATGGCCTCGGGTGTGCCAGTCGTCTGGCCCAACGTGAGTGGGAGCCACTGCTGCTTTCTGTCTATGCAAATGGCAGCCTCGGGGGATGGCCGCCTCACCTGCCCTGCTCTCTGGGGTGTCCCCTGCCTCAGCGTGCTTCCTGATACCTGCTGGGCCCGACATGCATCTTGTGATATTCATCAAACCCTACCGCAGATCCCCTCCATGGAGCTCCTGCTGCGTGGACTCGAGCACGCCATCAACCGCTTCAACTGCCTCCTGGACCTGACAAAGAAGACTGGTGGGTGTGCCTGCCGTCACATGCACTGCTGGCTGGGGTTGCACGCTGCCAGCACCGGGTCTCAGCAGGCTGGTGTGAACACGAGACAAACGTCCCTTTTCCTGCTCCCCTCCATCCAGGCCTGGTGGACCAATTTGATCAGCCCGAGATCCTGGACGACCTGCATGACGGATGGATCGCAGACCTGCACAGTGGTGAGTGGTGGGTGAGGGTGCCAGGACACCTGCCATGCTACCTCTGACATCGGGATCTTGAGTCATTGTGTCGAGCCCCATTCCACCTGCGTGCTGGAATCAGCACATGCATTCACCCCGCTCACACCCTCTGCAGAGGAGCGCATCCGCTTCATCCATCTGATGCAAGACATGGCGACCTCTCGCCAGCTCAGGGTCAGCATCCTCTCTGGCGACGCGCATGTGGCGGGCATAGGACGACTGTACAGCCACCCAAAGTACAAGAACCTCGAGTGAGCTGGAATGTTTTGTTGGGTGGGGGCTGGGGCTGGTGTGGATGCAGCTGCGTGTCGTACTCCAAACCCTGCGCTGCTTCAGGCATCTCACAGAGTCGCGCTTGCCAGATTGCATCACCGCCAAAGTCCACCTCCCAACCTGCTGATACTGTACTTCCAAACCAAGAACCCTCCATGCCACCCCCCCAACCTCCACCAGGAATGACCCGCTCTTCATGCCTCAGATAACCTCCAGCGCCATCGTGAACGCGCCTCCCCCCAACCCGGTGGTCCGCACCCTCACCCGCCTCAACTTCTCAAGTAGGTTGCGAGGTGCTGGGCTGGGGGATCGATGCAATGCGGAGGACAGCAGTGATGCAGGGGCCGCCGGCTCGAGGGTTTCTGAGATACACCCCAGGTCGCACTTCCCTACCGGAAGGCCCATCGCTGTGAGAGATCTTGCTGCCATTGCCATGGCGAGTGCTGCAGCTCACCCTTCCACTGCCCTGTAAAACCCACCCCATGCAGAGAAGATCGATGGGAAGACCAAGCAGAAGATGGTGCGCGCCTTCTGGCCACGCCACCCGCGCGTGGACAAGCTGCTTGCATACCGGAACTGGTGCGACGTGTCGCTGGTGGCGCCACCCTTCAGCGCACCCATGGTCCCGGGGGAGGCAGACCACGGCGCGTTGCGCTTTGTCCTGCGGGTGGAGAGGCCCAAGCAGAGGTGGGAGAGCCGATGATGGGACTTGGCGGAGTTAGTGAATATGTCGAAGGGGGAGGGGGAATCTCATAGCCTTGAAATGCATGATTTCGGCGCTGTATGATCATGGGGAGTGGGCTGCGGTTGTGACATCAGTTCCAGGAGCAGCGTGCCAGTCCACCACTGCACACGCTGAGGTAGTGTCCTCTTCCCTCTCCTCATCAGGCTGGGCTTTGCAGAGGAGACGTACACCATCGCCGTGCCACGCTTCGTGCCGGACAAGCGGTCCGAGAGGCTGACGGGCGACACCGAGGCGACGCGGCAGCGTGCGCTGCGAGCGCTGGCGGCCGCTGGGGTGGCCTTGCCGGCCGTGTTCTTCTCCCTCAACCCTTCCAAACAGGGTAGCCCCCAGGCGGAGCCCGTGGAGGAGGAGACGGAGGTGAACCTGGAACCCAGTGGCGGACTGAATGGCAGGCGAGCCGGCCCCCAGTATGCATGAAGAAGCACGTATGTAGTAGGAAATTCTGTGATGCTGTTCCCTGCGTCACACCTTCCCTGAGTGTTCCCCGCGTTGCCTACTACAAAGCAGCTACCAATTTTGTACTTCCTTCTGATCACATGGCAGTACCGGTTTAGCTTGGGCGGGGTAGAACAGTTCGTCATACACATAAGCTGGCACTCAACTCTGGCTGGCATGAACCAATCCGACCTCGTTGCCAGGAATTCCTCATGCCTTCCAGGGGGGTCACCGAGAACTAGCTCCGGCACCAAATTAATCTCAGTCCTGATACTCCAATCTGAATATCGTACAGATTGAAAATGGTGTGAGAGGATTATTGCAATGGAAGCGGCATCGAGAACAGCTGAGAGCTGTCATTCATCAAGAAAGCAGGGAACAACGGGCGCCCCCTCGGAAGACCCCCATGCTTGATCCCGCCAGGAAGGTGGCCGAAGATCGGCACGCGAGAACCCGCCAGCCCCTCATCAGGGCAGGGATGCTGTAAAAGCGCAGATTTACCGTCCCCTCGTACGTGGAAAAGCCCCTTTGACGCCAGCCTTTCCTGTGAGTTCCGGGGAGGGATGCTGGGATGGGTACGTGCATCCTTGTCGTCACTCCTTGAAGACCTCTTCCCCGGCTGCCACCTTATAATGGCAATCCACGCTTGTTTCCACCCCCGACAGAGCGCTTGAGACTCACCGCTGCAGCCAGGCGACCAGGCTCAAACCATGGGTTCCCCGACCATCGGAGGTGCGTTTGGCCTGCAACCCTTCCCCACCCTCCGACTTTGCACATGGACACACCCTTTGAATGTTTTGTATCCACAGGCAAGGCCCATTGGGCCTCCATCTGGCTTCCCTGGATCCTCTTTACCCTGGGCTGGATCATCCTCCTGTGTGAGTTTTGGGGGTCAGTTGGAAGCTGATGTGTCTGATTCTGGGCTCTCTTCTCAGCTGCTAGGGTCTTGCAAGCTTCTACTGACACCCTCTTCCCACCCTTGCTGCAGCTGGAGTGGCTGTCATGCAGAGCGTACGTCGGTGCAGTGGTTGGGTGGATGAGATTGCCGGTCACTTGGAGCTCGCCACATGTAGTGCATCCCCAGCTTGCTTGCAGACCGGCTGTGTGCAACCTTCACACTCATGCAGTCCTGCAATGAGTCGTATGACCTGACATCGCTGGCACGCGGCGGCTCCGTCGGTTACCTGTGAGTGACTAGAAGGTTTTGGTTGGCGCCGATGGCAGACATGCTCGGTACTCTTACAGTTCATCCTGGCTATTTTGAGCCCTGTAGTCCTGCAGCCCTCCTTCATAACTAGGTGAAGACCCTTCCTCTGACCATACTGACTCTATCCTGTATGGTTTTCTCCCTGCTTGCAGTGCTCCCGTGGACTGCAGCAAGTTCTTCCGATGTGAGTTCCTGCTTGCTTGGGAAGCCCATGGCACTTGCCTGGCGTGTTTTGTCTTCTGTGTTGCAACTAGTTGCGGTGGTGTTCAAATCTGGGTGATATTTCCTGCTTTGCTCCCATCACCAGCCCTCCATTGTGCATCCACCCCCCCCCCCCCCTTCCTATATAAAAATCCAGACGCTTGGTGGGCCACTTTCTACTCCCTGGCTGTCTGGGCCACCCTCCTGGTGACGCTGATCACCACCACCATCCACAAGTTCAGGTGGGAGAGGTCGAGAGTGGGGAGCATGGGCTAATTGCGGCGCACGGCTGGATTCAAGGACCAGTAGGCGCCTGCTGACGCCTGTGGTCTGTGCTGGGTCATTGTTGCCAACTGTCTAGAATCTAATCCAGTCTCCCGCTCAATCCCATCGTCTCTGTCGCCCTCCTGCTCTGCAGGCCAGGGCTCGTGGCCCTGCTTTCCATCACCATCATGCTGCTGATGGGCACTGCCAACACCTTCCTGTGAGCTGGGAGGGAAGCATGAATTGTGGAGCGGAGGCTCGGCCTGTGGCGGACCAGTGCCGAAAACCCTCACTTTGTGCGCTGGTCCTGTCGATTGACCTCGCTGGGCACTCATCCCTCCTCCTCCCCTTGCCGACTCCCACCATCCACAGGTTCTTCAACGACGTGCAGACCGGGAACTCGAGCTTCAAGGCCGGCACCCGCACGACGGTGGCAGGGGCCATCATCGTCACCATGGCCTCCTTCGTCCTGGTCTTCCTCATCGGCCTGCACGATGAGGACGCCACGTGGGACGAGAGCCACAAGGGTGAGGGGTGCCAGGGAGGACAGGGCGTGGGGGAGGGGTGTTGTGTTGCGTGCGCCAGAGCTCATCCTGCAGGCGGCTTTTTGTCGTGGGCCTGGGCCGAGGTGGTTACTAATGCACTGCCACAGCAGCAGTGATGCTTTTCTGATCTGCGACAACCTTGCTCGTGAGAGTGTTTTCCTAGCCTCAATTGTTGAGTCAACACCACATCCCTTCCTTTCCTCTACAGCTTCCCGGGCGGTGATCAAGTCCCCGGCCTCCCCCACGCCCAGCAAGGCCACTTCCACCTCCACCTTCGAGGCCAGGGGTCTGCCCCCGACCACCGCGTCGCCCTCCGCGAGCGCCGGCGGCCGTTAGACCGGAATCAGTGCGAGCACCCTGGCGGCACGACACCATGCTGTCGTGCCAACCCCCCTGGCGCTCGCCACCCCCGACTTGTTGCTCGACACTTTCCCCGTTGGCTGACGAGGGGCACCTCACTTTCCCACCCCCATTCCCCTCTCCATGCACCACCCCCTGATGTGATGCACGTTTACATGTCACCAAAGGTGGAAGGGTGTCCGGGAGAGGGTAGAGAGCGCGCCAACTGTCAACAGCGAGGGGCAATGGTAGGGTGGCGATCGAGCCAGACTCTTCCACGCGTGCATTGCAGGCCACCCCACTACTCCTCGGCAATGGGGTTGTTGTAGGCCACCACGTTGGCCTTGTCGTTGCCGGGATCGACAAAGCGTCCGCCCCGCGTCTCCCCGCTCCCCGCGCCCACGCGCTTGGAGTGCAGCTCCGGGTCCCGCTCGTCCTGCAGCCCCAGCCCGATCAGCACGGCGAAGAGGCCGATGGCGGCGATGATGGCGCCGGCCAGCACCACGCGGCCGCGTGCCAGCAGGGCCCCTGGGGTGAGGGGATTGGCATGAGGGGAATGCTCTTGTGGTATAGAAGTGGGAACTGCGAGCCATAACATGGGGGAGGGAGTCACATGTTCGAAAGACAGCCCCTGCAATCTTTAGCACCCCTCACCGCTGACGGTGGGGATGGTGTTGAAGTAGAGGAAGGAGTTGATGAGGTCCATGAGCAGCATGAGCTCCACCGCCACCAGACCGATGAGGCCCGCTCTGAAGCGCCGGATGCCGTTGATGGTCATCAGGATGGGGAGGAGGAGGGACAGGATGAACACTGCAGGGAGAGGGGGGGGGAGGGATCTGTTGACGTGAGGCTCAATGTGGGAGGATGCTACTGGGCAATACATGTAGTCATGGACGCTATACTTGAGGCATCATACAGGCCAGGCCGCCCCTTTATCAAGCTTGGGGTCCAGCCTGTGGTCAATCAAACAACAGTGACACAGCTCTCGAGGAAATCCACTCACGGTAGACGGTGATCCACCAGGTGAAGCCATAGAAGCTGCAGGAGGGGGAGGGGAGGGACAGTCAGGCATGCCCAGGGCCAGGGAGTGGATGCAGATCCATCGGGGGCTCCCTGCCAGCCAAGCAACACCAGACTGGCAACATCAAGGGACCCCTTGCCACCTCCCCACACCATAAACGCACTGGCTGCATGGGACGGGTGAGAAGTACCCCGCAGCGCCGGCACGCACGATGGCATTGGCACCGCTAGAGCTGCAGTCCTGGGGACATGGTGGGGGATGGAATGGGGTTGGTAGCGGGCATGAACAGGCTTGGTGGCCAAAATGGCTGCCCCTCAGCCTTCCCCTCTCACCGACTGCAGAGCTGCCACTCCGCAAAGCAGGAGGAACCATCCAAAGAGGGAGATGACCCCTGCGGTGAGCGTGAAGAGCGATGGGCATGAGGCTCGGCTTTGACCCCACGCCGACATGGGCATCTGCTCCCCGAGCAGTGACCCCGCACTCACAAGGCAGGAAGACTACCGCATTCGCTTGCGTCAGACCCGACATCCCGATGGCCTGCTGAGATATGTAATGATGGGATGAGTTCATCTGGGTTGAAGGAGCCTGGGCGCAGGGGGCAGGGAATGCAGGCTGGAAGGTGCCCGTTGGTCCTCACCTGTCAGACTCTCCTGGGGCTCGGGGGTAGGCGGATGGCGCGGGGTTGCAGATCTATGAGATTTATCTTGTGTTTACCTCGTGAAGGTCGGCTCCCGGCTTGAGAGTGGGCCCGTTCGGGTCTGGATGTGTTTCTCGGATGGAGCCGCGGCGGGAAGGAGTAGGATGGGTCGAGGAACCTGGGCTGACGCCAGGACGGAGAGGGAGACAGCGGCAGCCTGCTGCCTCCAAACTTGTCTTCAGTACGTCAACTACAGCATTACAGGGCGTCCGGAGCTCTGCGATACCCGATCGCAGCCTTTGACCACCACCACTCGACCACCCTTTCTCTCGTAAGCGGAGGAGAGTGCTATGGCTGTCAAAGCTCCTCCCCTCGTCCTCGCCTGGGGCAGCGTGTTCTTCCTCTCCGTTGCATGGTTCCTCCTCCTGGGAGGCGTTGGGTCCCTGCAGAGCGTGAGTTCGGCGAGGGGTCGGATGCCCATGCACGGAGCCTCTGCAGCCGTTGGTCCCCATTCCCATCGTCTCCCCATCGGCCGGCAAACTCCACCCCCCGCAGGCATGCGGCGACTCTGGTGCCACCAGTCTCCTGCGTGCAGGATCGGCGGGATACCTGTGAGTGTACGGGTCGTGAGGGTGCTGCCTCTGGGTGGGGTTAAGGGGGTGGATGAATGATGACAGCATTCTTGCCTGCTCTTCAAAGTGCCAGGGGTCCCAGCCTGCAAGCACTCAAAATCTCTGACCTCCAATCCCTCTCTGTAGTGCTCCCGTCACCTGCAACCGCTTTTACAGGTATGTAACTGAACGTCGAGGGTGAGGGAGACCCTCTTCTCCTCAGGGTTTCATTGTTGCTTGAGATAAACACCAGCCCATACCCCTGACCATTCCCCTCCCGTCCCCCCTGCAGCTATGTGTGGTGGACTGTGTGGTAAGCCGAGTGGGTTTGCCCAGCGCAAGGGCTCCAGAGTTTGATGCTTTCAAATGTGTTTAAATAGCTGAAAGAAAATGGAGCGGGGCTTCTCCCGTCATGCTCAGTATAGGCAGCATCCTGTGCCGAGTGCCCCATGCGGCGTGCCAGCGGCCGCTGACCCCTCCGCGCTCCCCATGCGTGCAGGTACGACTTCTTCGCCATCATCCTCGTCGCCTACCTGCTGGCCACCTCACGCATTCACACGCTGCGCTACGGCGCCATCGGCTTCCTCATCCCCGTCACCTACCTGCTGATGAGCACGTCGGACGTCGCCCAGGCCCTGTGGCACATCGGCGTGTCCCCCTCCCGGGCCAAGGTGCTGCTGGCCGGCGGCATCATCTCCTCCATCTTCCAGGTGGTCCTCATCGTCCTCCTGGGTATCCACGTGAGTTTGGTGGCTGGGGGTTTGGGGAGGGTGGGAGGGTGGGGGAGGGATTTGAAGAGTCTTGTCAGCAACGCGAGGGAGGCTGAAGTAGAAAGATATCTGGTGGGCCCGACGTCAGGAAACAGCTTTTGAGGCAGGCCCTGGTCCGCACATGCGAAGACAAGTGTCATCCTGATCCATAATACTGCAGGATGAGCTGGCTGTGAAGTGATTGCACGCATGGTACTGCGGCAAGCCCAGAGTTGAGCATTGTTGGGAAACGGGAGCACCAGCATGAGGCATGAACCTGGGGCTGATGAGACAGGTGCCTCCATGACCTCGCCGCCCATCACACCTGACAGACTTGCACTTGACGCCCCCCAGCTGATCTGTAAGCCATTGTGAGACCGCGGAAGGGGTTGACCCAGGGGCTGCATGGTCGGGATGTGAAGACCCTGTTGGCCGGTGCACAGCACGCCCCGCATCATTGAGTCAACCTGTCGACGTCGTTGTAATTGCGCACAAGCCAGATGGGTGGAAGAGCGAAGTAGATATATAATACTTACAATAGCATGTAGATTACATGCACATGCGTCGCCGTACGATGACATGATGCGCGCAATACTGCCCCGGCGAGGGACAGCCTTGTTGGCGGAATGGGCCCTGGCGCGGGCCTGCACGCCGGGCCTACAGCTCGACGCCACCCATGGACTTCTACATCCAGAATGTAGAAGCTTTACCAGCGACAGCCTTGTCCGCCTGACCCCCTCAGGCGAGCACCTGCATCTCTGGCGAACGCGCCCTGCATGCGCGCTGACCAGTGTTGGGGTTTGTCTGTCGCCCAAGAAACACCATCTTACAGCCCTCCGACCCTTGCCAATCACCACTACCCCCCCCCCCCAACGCGCCGTACAGGGGCTGAGTTGCAGAAGCGGGGCACCCACTTCGCCGCCCTGGCGCCTGGCGCCGCCCCCGGGCTGGCGCTGTGGTCGCGGCTGGTGCGCCAGGTGCACGCCACCTTCATGCCCGCCGGCTACCCCGTGACCGTGGCCCCCGGCTACCCCGCCTACGTCGCGTGGCAGGGGCTGCACCACGCCGCGGGCTCCGCCAACGGCGTGCTGGCCTCCACATTCCTGCTCTATGCGCTGGGGCTGGGCGCGGAGGCCATCCCCACCGCCGGCGCCATCAACTGGGTGCTCAAGGACGGGCTGGGCCAGGCCGGCACGCTGCTGTTCGGCCGCGCCATCGCACACAACTTTGACGTCAACGCGCGCTGGTGGTACGTGGCCTCCTCCGCCAAGCTCAACCTGGCCATGGGTCTGGAGATCGGCACGGCGTTGGCGCCCGCTGCCTTCCTCCCGGCCGCCGCGCTGGCCAACGCGCTCAAGGGCCTGGCCTGGATGGCCGGCGGCTCGGCGCGCGCGGTGTTCAACGGCGCGTTTGCCGCCAACGTGAACATTGCCGACCTGACGGCCAAGGCCACCAGCCAGACCATCGCCGCCTCGCTGGCGGGGACTGCCGCCGGCGTCGCGCTGGCGGCGGGGGTGGGGCAGAGTCTGGCCCCCGCCGCCGCCGCCTACGCCGCGCTGGCGGCCCTGCACATGCTGTCGGGCGTGCGCAGCGTGCGCAGCGTGCCCCTGGCCACGCTGAACCCCTCCAGGGTGCACGCGCTGGGGCGCGCGTTCCTGGACGGGGGCGGCGCGGCCGCCGCGGGCGCCGACGAGGTCGACGGCGGGCTGGCCGCGCTCGGCGACGGGGCGGTGGTGCCCGCAGATCCGCGGCCCGACGCCCGCGCCGCGCCGCGCGTGGTGCCACTGCCCTCGCCGGCCCGCCTGGCGCCGTGCGACCCGCTGCGCGAGCGCGCGGCCACCGCCGTCCGCGTTGGCGTGCCGCGGAAGGCCCTCCTGGCCCTCTCCCCCGCCGCCAGCCGGGCACTAGTGGGCGAGTACGCCGGCGGGCTGCACGCGCTGGTGGAGGGGTGGTCGGAGGGGCGCAGGGTCCAGCGCCTGCTCCTGCATGAGGAGGCGAACGCCGCCGACGCGTTGCTGGGCTGCCTGCACGCCTGCGTGGCTCGCAGCATGGCCGAGCGCATGGAAACCAACCAGCACCTACCGGGGGCCACCACCCTGCGCATCGCCCGGAGAGCCTTCCCCTCCTTCCGCGCGTCGCTGGTGGCCGCGGGCTGGGACGTGGAGCGCCTGAAGCTGGAGTCCATTCGGCAGCGGGCAGTGTGGTAGGGGGCCGGTGTGATGGCGGTGAGACTCTGCCGTGCACTACTCCAGGGCGAATCGGAGCAAGCAATTTGTACCCTGCCTCGTCTGCAATGCGCAGAGTATTTATGTATCGTGATCCCTCCAATGAAACAGACTTGCTGTACATTTTGGCCCAAACAGGCTTGAGCAATCCCATTGCTTGCTGTGCACATACCTGCTGTACAGACAAAGAATCGGCTGCTCGCCAAGGTCTCGTGTTTCATCACCAAATCATGGTGCAAGGGGTCACTTGGGAGCAGTGATGGTGGCGCATTGCGCCCTAGAGGAAGCAGCTCTCCATCAGCCCCTGTGACAAGCCAGGCGACAGGCCTGGGGTGGAAAGAACGCGCCAGGTCCCCGGAAATCAATGTCTCGCAATCGAAAGGAGAACTTTACACAGCATGGACCACGCACACCTCTTCCCATTTGCTCAGAGGCAGTGCGACGCTGCGCATGCCATCCCCCTGCATTCTATCCCACCCATGCCACCAATGACCCATACCCTCCCTGCGTCCTCGTGCCGGTCCTGAAGTGCCCGGTCCAAGCCCGTGAAAATACCACAACAGGAGGGAGGAGGGGCCCCCCTGCAGCATGGGTACCCTGGACTACATAGTTCCCACTGCAAAACCCAAAGAAAAGGAAGATGCGATGAAGAGCACCAGCCGGACCGTGACCGAGACCCTGGAAGGCAAGGTTGGGAGGGTGGGACCCCGCACCCTGGACCATGTGTGCCCCCACCTCGTCACGCCGATGCGACCACCGAGAGGGCCCCCCAGCGCCCAGCGAATTCAATTTACCAATAATAATCCGTGCAGGGGAGCATGAACACACCATCGTGGGGTACAGCCTCGTGAAGGGCGTGGGCGACGGCGAGCCCATCGCCTCGGAGCGCTTCACCGTCGGCGGGCATGAATGGGTGCGCCGGGAAGCACACTCTCACGCTGACAGGTCACTCGATACCTTTTCAGGGATGGCATTGGTGGTTCCTGGACCCATCCCCCCTTTCCCTCAACCCCCTCGCCCCCGCCCAGATTCTGCTCTTCTACCCCGATGGCAAGCGCTCCCAGTCTGATACGGGCCAGCTCAACCCCGGCAACCACCCGCACCACCCCGCCCTGCTGGGCCACGGCGGCGCGGCGCAGGGCATGGGCCTGGCGGGCCTGGCCAACCCCATGGACGCGGCCGGCCCCACGGGGCCGGGGCCCTTGGCCGGGCACGCGCCGGGCGCCGCACGCCGCGACCCGGGCGCGGGCGACGCCGCGCGCGACGACCTGGTCCGCCAGCAGATCATGCAGCTGGCCCGGGCGCAGCAGGGCCCGGGGGCCTCGCGGTACTTGGCGCGGCGCATGATGGCGGCGGCCGCCGACCGCGGCGCCGGCGACGACCCCGGCGCGCCCGGCGAGGCGGAGGCGCCCACGCCGAGAGCGGGCGGCGGGGCGGAGCCCGCCGCCGCGCCGCCGCCCCGCCCCGCGG